CAGTTGTACCAATATTCATCATTCTATTGGCTGTGATCTGTATTTCAATCATACTGTGGCGTCGAAGGAAACTACAGAGGCGTCAAGGTATATTTAGCTAGCTCTTACAGATACAAAGTTGTGATTTGGTCAAATGCTCGTCACGTGATAGAGTTTGCGTTGATTGTAATTAGCATATTTTCACTCCAGGTCATTTTTTGATGTTATATATTGACCAACCGGTCAAATTAGTGTATTTGTGCGTCATACCATATCCAATCAACCCTGTGCGCATTAGCCCGTACCAATTGATTGCATTGCAGAGATGCCAACCCTCCCGATTTCATCGGGAGGCTCCCGATAATTCACCCCAACTCCCGACCTTACGATCACCATCCTTATCCTCCCGATTTATTATAAAAAATTAAAAAAATGATTTTTTTTTTTTTTTTTTTTTTTTTTTTTTTTTTTTTTTTTTTTTTTTTTTTGGCGCTTATCAGTATATATATCTGTGAATTGAATGAGAAATATCGTCTGTTAACTTTAGCATGTAGTAAATCCACTATATTAAAAGACAAATTAAGAGTAGCGAAAGATTGTTTCAGCATATGGATCGCCGTAACCAATGCGTGGATATTGACACAGAATCCAAATGGCGGAAAATCAGCTAAAGAAGACCAAGAAATGGTATCAGAAGTATAAGACCGAACACTGTATCATATATATGAAAGGAATTCATCATGCATTTTGTACAATTTGTATGTTATTTTAAAAAAAAGTGGGAATTATTGAACTAAATACACATGTAAAATGCTGCAAAATAAGGCTCAGATTGCACCAGAGAGCATCTAGAACCCCAGAGCTTCCAGGGCCCTAAGGCGGGCCCTGGACCCCGGCCGCATGGGTCGGGCGCTACGCGCTCGAGATGTGCGCTACGCGCACATTATTTGGTGTCCGTTACAAATCCTCCCTATTTATGTTTTCCAAAAGTTGGCATCTCTGGCATTGTCTTAGCTACAAATGTACATGTACGTGCATCTGTCGTGGAAGGCTGGACGGCTTGAGAACAAACAAGGCATGAGATCACAATTATTCTTTGTTTTAGATAACAAAGTATCATAAAGGCTATCTACTATAACAGACATTGACTGGTAGGATGTGTAATAACTAATATAGCATTTCTTGACCAAACGGGAGTTATGTTTTCTCTCGTGATCATATTTTCCCTTAGCCCTGTACAAAAATATAACTTCCTTCGGCGGTCCAAAAATGGTTATATTACAGTCAATATCTGTTTAATAATCGTCATCATAGTCCCTTTGTAGATTTTCTAATGACGACAAAAAGTATCCAGTATATTATCTTATCAAATATGTTTGAACTATTCTGTAACTTTAATGCCATTGCAGTAATAATAATAATAATACTCAGTTTTTATATAGCGCTTATTACAATCACTAAGCGGTTCCAAACTTGAAAATTATTACTCCGGCTTTAGCTCTGCTGCCATTACGGCGCTCTAGCATTTCAAAGAATTAATTCCTGCCAGATACCCATATATTTGTATAATAAACGTTAAATCCCATAACAGGATAATGACCCCACAGAAAATTAGCCCCGAAGGACCACCACCCCTCAAGGATAATCCTCCCCCCCCCCAAGGGACAACCAAGGACAATTACCCCCCGGACAATTACCCCTGCCCCTGAAAAAAACCATAGGACAATTACCCCCCCCCCTCCACCCCTGAAAATAATTGTCCTTGAGGGGTAGTTGGGGGGAGGGGGCCGTAATTTTCCAGGGGTTAATTGTCCTAAGATGTCCCACTCTATAATCATACCGTCATCCTTTTTTTTTTTTTTTAATCAGAGATTTTACATTAAAAATGACAAGAGGCAGAGTCACAAATTATGACTACGAATAGAATTACAAATACAATTAAAAACATACAGTAACAAAATAAATGATACCAAGATTAATAACAGGTAACAATGAAACAACATATTAATCATATTATACAAATGTACCCTGTCTCGAGAGGTCCTGGTTAAAACTATGCGCAAGAGGTGACTCCAATAGTACTATTTTCAGAGCAACGTTAAAATGGTTGAAATATTTTGGTCACGTGAAGAGCTCTCAACCAATCGAATCCCAATAAATATTTGATGCAGGATATGTTAAAAGTTATTTTAACGTCAACATGAAGATTAGGATTATGACAGTTTGACTAGTAATTTTTTCAAAATGTTACCTAAACAATGTCATTGAGAGTATTTTCAAATTAAATAAATGGATTATGTAAATATAGTATTTTAAGTTAATAAATTTGATTCCACTAAAATGACATTTTTAAAAATTTGGTTGTAGTTCAAAATGGCATATACCGGTAAGGGGAAAGAAATCAGGCCATACAATATATGCACACATGTTTTACTCTAGGTAATTGTAGTTTTATTTTCAAATAACTATCATTAAAACAGGCAAATATCATTTCCGTGTGTTGATATAAATTTATGTAATTTCCAATATCACTTTTCCATATACATGAAGGTACATACGCCAAGATGCCCTATCAATCGCTGATGGGAAAAAAGGATGGTGAGTTTTTACTTCTATTGAAAAAAGTTAAGGGTAGTAAAAAATAGTTTTCAATTTCTCATAAATTTTCTGTTTTGGAGCGAGGAGTGGGCTTTTTACACTTAAAAAATCTCTTTCAAAAGAATATGTACCATTGAAAAGCTCATCAAATTCAGAATACTGCGCATCGTGCATGTAGGGTTGAGAAAATAAATCTGTGTTCTAATGTATAAAAGGCTTATGTAGAGTTCTGGTTCTAATTATATTACCGTAGTTGCTTGTATTCGCATTTTATAGAAAATAAATTTTCACCCTTGCAAAAAGTTATTTTGACAGTGCTTATTTTTACATATGTAATGCATAGCAAGCAGGGAAATAACACATCGCTTGGTAACAGAATTATCATATTACGTATTGAAATGTTACATCATAGTTAAACTCATGTCTCGTCAATCTCTATCTCCATTTGTACTTCTTTATACATGTAATGTGTTTTTGTTAATCAGCAAAATCATGTATATCATAAATGCATTAAACATGCAGATTCGTATAACAACCGCATCATTCTCTATGTTGAACAAGACTTGCATGTTCAACTATGGGGGAAATAAATGTACGAAATATTTTTCTTTACTCTTATACGTTCAGTTTCAATTTCTTCCCTCATTTTATAATAATGTATACCATACATGCTGACATCAAATTCTGGATATATTCCTTCTGCACATCTTGTTTACTTACATTTAGGATTTGATATGTTTATCTCTTATGTGTTGACGATGGGTTGTCATTCTATTCCTTAAAATATCTCCTGCCTCTCCGATATATTGTTTTCCACACCTATTACAATTTAGACAATAAAGCAAGCTTCTAGATGTGAATGTTTTTTTAGATTCCCATTACTGTTAAAACGAATCGTACCAATGGTGGGCATGTATGGACACGTTTCACACCTCTTATTGAAATATTTTTGAATTCCCCCTTTTCTGCGGCCGAGCTAGGTGAACAGTTTCTTTTAATTTGGCACCTGTATTAAATGTCTACCTGAAACGTATTTTGTATTCCCAAATATGTTTTAAAGATGAGAATCTTTAGCTAAAAGGGGGAACATGTGTTTAATAGTGTTTGAAAAATTCCAATCATTGGGATTGTATACATGTAGATACATAAACTATATTTTCTTTTTTGCTTGTCTCAAAACATTTTGTTCTATATCACGTGCTATTTTAGCGCAATGCGCTAAATACATATTGTTTGTTGCGCTTTTGTAATTGGTAAGTTTGAATTTGCTATCTAAGATGTAACAATATGAAAATATAATATGATAATTCTGTTACCAAGCAACGCACAATTTTAGTGCAATGCGCTCATACGCATTTTTTGTATATTCTAATATGTAATTTTAAATTCACTATCAGAAAAAATATGATTGAAACCGGTCATAGTGAAGAAGTGAACTCCCAAGGATTTTTATTACAATTGTTTTAATTATTATTTGTATATTGCCATGACAGAGGATTATACACATTGAATACTTTATTCTATTATATATACAGAGTGAGTCAGAAATATGTCCCACTTTTTAAAAGTATGAATATTTAATCATGGATTTCATGCTATATGTCTTGATACAGTTAGCCTCCCAGTACATTTAGGTACCATTTTCATTTGAATCTCTGCATGCATGACTGAACATGAGACAATCTTTACAAGACTGCCAGATCTCACTTGCACCAAGTTACTGGGTGAGGAATAAAACAGTGCATTGAAAAAAGACAGTCAGACAGACAAAAACACACACACACCCACACGCACATGCGCACACACGCAACACACACGGTAACAATTGTTTCATAATTTCCCCTTTTCTGATTAAGCATTGATTTTTTATTAAGATCGCTGAATGTTTAAGTGGCATTTATTCCCTCATTTTTCCCTTTTAACATTCACTAGCTACCACCATCATATCATCATCATCATCATTGTCATCATCTTAATATTCATCATCATCATCATGAAGTGCACATGAATCCAATATGCTATCTCAATACGTGTTTGTGTGTGTGTGCCTAGCCTGTGCGTGTGTGTGTTTTTGTTTTTGTCTGTCTGGCTGTCTCTGTTCAAACACTATTTTATTCCTCACCCAGCAACTTGGCGCAAGTGAGATCTGGCAGTCTTGTGAAGATTGTCTCATGTTCAGTCATGCATGCAGAGATTCAAATGAAAATGGTACCTAAATGCACTGGGAGGATAACTCTATCGAGACATATCATAAAACCCATGATTGAATATTCATACTTCAAACAATACAACTTTTAAAAAGTGGGACATTTTTTCTGACTCACTCTGATATAGTAATATATATACATCTTTTATATTGAGTACCATGAACTGCAATAAAAATTTTATTTATTTTTCATTTAGGAATTTTTTCTTATTTCGAAATGGAAAAACTTGTCGAGAAGTTTGACATTGGATCTTTGAATCTGATTGTGGCCGAGTTGATAGAAGATTCCCAAGGAGAACTGGAGTCTGAACGTACGAAAGCTGATCTTTATGAATACTTGTGCGAATGGAAGGAGAGCTCGTCTGGGAGTGCCATTTCGCTCTACTCTGCAATGGAGAAAAATAATCTTGAATATGAAGGTACCTCCTCTTATAACATTCATTCTTATTTGTATATTAGAATACCCTTATATTCCTACTTGTTTGTTAGGGTCAGTGTCAGGAGAAGAATGAATTCAGAAATTCAGAAGAGACCGTAGTTTATTCTCTTGCAAATAACAGACGTCTTCTAAGGAGTTTTGTTTAATCTGTATACTCAGAATTGCAGGTGAAGAATACATACATTTACAACAACAAAAACCTGTCAATAGATCAATTCCTCTTTGTCTTCTATTTTCTTTCAGACTTCTTGGCAAGCATAGACAATGCGGTTTCTGATGACGACTTGGAGCACATTTGTTGGCACGTTCATAGCTGTAGAGAGACAGTTCAACCCATAGTAGATTCATTACAATATTCATCCACTAACAGTACCGAGCCTGCAGATAGTGGCCACATCTCAGCACCATCTAGGGGTGATAAAATTTGGGACGACCTCCAAATTATGAAGAGATGGAAAGCGATGTCAGCCGCGACAACGTACGGAGAGGAAGATGAACATACAGAATCAGTGCTGTCAAATCGGATGATACAACTGTGTCGTGCTTTAGAGGAAGCAGGAAAGAAGACTCGAGATAGCGACGGCCGGGTGTATCATCAACTCTCCAAGACATTTTATAAGAGTAAGATGATTTTGTTTATTAAACTTCGAGCCCCGGTTCGGCACTTACGTCCGTGGGCAAGGCATTGTATCTGCATTGTTCCCCTGCAACGAGGTGTTAAAACAATATCCAATAGGAAAAGAATGTCATTGTATTTGGACTAGCATGTATATGTGCGCCTGTGAGTGTGAGTTGAGTATGTGCACTGTAATGTACAGAGTAGTAATTGAATCTAGTGACCAGGGTTATAATAATACTGTGAACGACTTGGACAGTTTATGTTAAAGCCATTGATAAGAAACAGGTACCGGTATAATGATGATGAAATTAAGAATTGTTGAAAAACATTGTTTTCTATATTCCATGTGAGGATCCTAGCAGATCAAGCTGATGAGACAATTAATATATTGGTCTCTAGCCTTGCATCAAATAACCCCACTCTATGATTATATACTCAATATGCGAAATATAGTAATACATAATAATTCATTGCATCTTTCGATCAAAATTTAGTTCAAGGGAAGTACAAGAGCGAACTAACGGACGAGGTCTTGAAGGAGTTTGCTCTCAATATCACCAAACGACACTGCCAGAGACTTGGAAAACCCTTCAGACTTTCTGCACGTGCCATAGCTAACAGGAATGAAGAAGACCTGGAGATGCTCAGGACGGACATCATGCTCAAGGCGTGGGTGCTGGATCAAAATTGCAGTAACTATGAAATCAGGCGCAGATTGAGACAAGCGGCAGAACAGTGCGAACGCCAGGATATCGCAGGTACATATGGCAGTATCGTCAGATTGCGAAGGTGTTGTGGTATTCATTCACTTGATTTTGAATTCAAGGGTTGTTGGTTTGAATCCACATTTATCACTCTTCACCCAGGTGTAAATGGGTACCTGGCAATAGCTTGGGTAATACTAATTGCAGAGCCCTTTGGAAGTACAATATTAAAGCTGATGTTGCTTCTCGTGGAAAAACAAAATTATTATTATTACCGGTATTATTATTTTTATTTTGAAGAATATATTTGTTTTAATCTATGTTCAATCTCCAGGAATCACATCTTCAATCACTTGTTCATGAGTGAATACCAATATATTCTGAAGTGTCATCTAAAAAAAAAAGAGTGAAGTGTCAGTTTACTTATGATTGTGATGAACCCTTGGCTCAATAACCTTAATTCTTAGAATGATGAATGATATTTTACTATTGTCAAAGGGCATACTCCATCTTAGGGGTGATGGAAGACTCGCGATTGTTTGTGTTTATCACTGCGATTACTAGTTCAGCCTTTTCTGCTTGTTCTACCTCATCTGAATGCCGTCAAGGTTATGCATTTTTCAACAACCTTAAAACTGTTGAAGTTTGTATCATTTGCCCTAGCTAGGCTACCCTCAGCTGCCTTACACGAAATTGCACAAGTCATATACCAGGGAGAAGTCACATATTCCTGCATATATGCACATATCCAATTATTATTTCTGTTGATGTGTTAGACGTAGCCGACATAGTTTCCATACAACGAGTCAACTTGTATCAAACAAGGTTTTACATATAGTAATATGAGTAAGTTAATGAACAGGTTGCTCAGGAAGAACAGCATTGACGATGATGATGGTGATAATCAAAATTATTACTATAAATTTTATAACATTTTTCCTCAGACATTTTCATCAGAAAAAAACAGAGTGAGGTCATGACATCGCCCATACAACTGACAATTACAAATGAAAACCAGAGTCCTGGAGCCAGTAGATCAGAAAGTGGTGAGTACTCTTCTCTTACCAAATCCGCCATTGTAGTTATTGTATTTTTTATTTTGTTGTATTTATTTGAAAAATCTTCAGTCTCTGAATGTCTAATGAACACAAAAGTGTGCATGTTTGTTGATATTCACCTAACGGACAAGACAAGTGGTTCTAGCCTAATTAAATTATGCAAAATGCCAATTTTATGCATTTTACAGAAAACTTTGTCTCTAGACTTGTGAAGAAACTTGAAAATGTATTGAATAAATGTTTCCTTCTTTTCAAATTCATGAGGTTTCATTATTTTAATGATATTCGAAAATGCATAAGTTAATTTGCATAAATTATGAATACACAAATTACGCATTCATGAATGTCAAATCTGCAAATATACAGGTAACTAGAATCATTACAAAAATTTCAGACTCCACTTTTTGAATGTTGAAACTCTTAATTTCTAACACAAAAAAGTTATTTTGATGTAATTAATAATGATAATATATGCAAATTTTATGCAATTTTTCAAATATTTGGCCTTGTTTGAGCTTTTGTGTTTTTTGTTGAAAGTATGTTCAGCACTGTGAGCGAAGCAAAACACAATCATTTCATTCACTTTCTCACTGTAGAATAATATTTCTCCACTACCCATCTGCATATCACTGCTCATATCCGAAGAAAAAAAAGTTTGAAATGCATATATATAATTTTATTTTCTGATGTATTTTATTGTTTTTTAAATTTCTTATTATATCTATTGTTTTATTTCTAATGTATTCTTTTGTTCTGGAATACATCAATTTACTTTGAGAAACACATCAAAGCAATGTTTTTTTTCTGCTGCACATTCAGGTAGCCAGTTACGCATTGGCATACACACTCACTTACACTGTTGTTACTATTCCCTGTACTATTCCCTGTAGTATTCCCTGTACTATTCCCTGTATATTCTTGTACTATTCCCTGTACTATTCCCTGTACTATTCCCTGTACTACCCTTATAGCAGAGACTGGTAAATATCACGTCATATTTACGTCTTGTACTACGTCTATAAGACGACATAACACAACGTCAAAAAGACATGATTTTGCACCCGCGTACGTCGTCATGAGGACGTCATATTTTGACGTGATTTTTACGTCTTATTAGTCAAAGAAAGACGTCTTTAAGACGTCAACTTGTACCTTAGGAAGACATCGTATGGACGTCATATTTACGCCTTACTAGTCAAAGAAAGACGTCTTTAAGACGTCAACTTGTACCATAGGAAGACGTCATATGGACGTCATATTTACGGCTTATAGTTAAAGAAAGACGTCTTTAAGACGACATAACTTTACGTCGAAGAGACGTAAACTTGCACCCGCGTACGTCGTCGTGAGGACGTCATATTGTGACATGATTTTTACGTCTTATTAGTTATAAAAAGACGTCTGTAAGACGTTAACTTGTACCATGGAAGCCATCGTGAAGACGTCATATGGACGTCATATTTTGTAGTATAGACGTCGTATTTTGACGTGATTTTAACGTCTTATTAGTCAAAGAAAGACATCTTTAAGACGTCAACTTGTACCTTAGCAAGACATCGTATGGACGTCATATTTTCTTTTTAGGTGTTATTGGTCCAAGAAAGACGTCTATACGTTGTATGGACATCAAATTTTGACGTGATATTTACATCTTACTGGTCATTTCGATGTACCTTTTATCCTTACATGATCTTTACGTCTTTTTTGTCCTCTAAATGACACCTACATGACCACCTGATCAAGGAAGAAAGTGTAAAAGTCACTTCATGAACACATTCTAAACATTCTAACAGTAAAAACAAAGCAACAAATATTGCATCACATAATATATATATACATGCCAGACAGAAAGTAATTTTCATATTTTTAATGTACATGTATATGGTATGAAAATAGATAACAAAAATAAAGAATATTTATTTTTATACCTTCTTCTTCTATCTAACTTGTCTTCATACAGAATTTTTCCGTCACCATCCTGACACTTCTTCCAAAACATGCTGTATAAATACCTCATAATTGATTTTAAGAAAGTTAACATGCCATCACAAAGATATTTGTTTTGTTATAAATTGTGCTGCTTCATTTCAGATTTAATTCAGTTACAAGAAACTAAAACATAAGTTGGCTTAACTTATAAGTCTTGCGGTTGTGAGAAGCAGGTTAGCAGCATAGAGACTAGGTAAAGCTACACTGATACCCGCAGTTGTTTAGTAGACAAGCAAACAGCAGACTGGGGAACTTCCTCATATTCAGCAAAACAGCATAGTGGAAAGCTGGGCATTCATCAGTGCAGCTCTACCTCGTCTCCACGCTGCAAAACTGCTCCTCACAACCACCCCAAGACTTTAGTGCAGATAAAGACTATCACATAAAACAAAAGGTTGTTGGAAACAATTCCTGAACATGAAAGATCAATACCTTATTTTTACATACAAGGGGAATTTATCTAGTTTATGGCAAGAATTTAGTATAAAGTATAAAACTATACAATCTAAATCACACACAAGAGAAAAATGGCACAAATGATAAACACATGGCTTATTTCTTACACTCAAAAGAAACAAGTTGGCAGCAAGGGGAACAGGGAGAGCTTCACTGATGCCTGCAGAGTTTTCTGATGATGGTTGCTTGCCTGTTGAAACCACGATGTTCACATTTGGCGGTACAGCATATTGGACAACTGTGCAGAAATCAGCTCAACTATACCTATTCTCTGTGCTAGAAACCTGCTTCTTACTGACACATGACTTAAACACAAAAAAGGCATTAGTGGCAACATTCATACGTATAAATATAATCAAAAAATATTTTGTTGCAAATACAGAAGCTGAAGTTCAAGTATAAAAATACAATTTCTATCAGATAACATTCCCGCCAGTACGATTGGCTCTGTTGGGCAATTCCAAGGTGACTGTGCAATAATTATTCGGAAGATATTTCCAAGTTTAAGATAAAATATCAAACATGCTGAAAAAGTTTAGCACAAAGAGATATATTCCATTGCTAATGTCACAACATTCAATTGGAAAGTTTGAAACTCCTGGGGGGAGTTTCACAAAAAATTAAAATTTAACTTAAATTTTAACAGCGAATTCAATATAGGTAAGCCATATTGTGCTTTCAAAATCACAGATACAATCCAAGAAATGTAATACTTTTAACTACCAAAAAATTCTCAAACCCCAAGGATATTTATGGTTTTCTTTGAAGGCGCCACTGTGTGTCACTCTTTAACACTTACATGTAATTCTCCCAACATATTTTTTAATTTTCCCCAACCGTTTCCCATGAAAATAAGGTATCAGATTTAGAGCCAATTCTTTGCTTTGTGATGATTTACATTTACCTAAAATTTAATTAAAATATAATAATATAGTTGGGACTTGGAAGAATTAAGGAATCGATCAGATCAGTTGTTTTCAATTTTTATCATCAATAATGGTCTTTTTTCACTCTAACTTTCAGATTATCTTTAATTGTACATATAGCATTGAAGTCAATATCTTTAATAGCACCATTTTCTCTCATCTGAAAAATGTTACCAAGTCATTTTAAGGCTTGTTCAGATATGATGCTGCAAAACAGTCAAAATCACATCATTTTTTTAATGTTGACATGGAGTTCAATATGCTGTACATAGTGTATATTATTAAAAAGAGCTCACTGAATACACAGTCCAAAACATACAAAGACACGTACCGGTAGGTCCTTTGTTGCCATTCACTTTACACATAAAACCAAACTGCATCATTTTTAAAATTTGTTGGAGATTCACGAACTTCATGTGCCGTACCTGAACCTTAATTGCTTAATAATGGAATCGAACTGTATTGCATTTACCTCACTCAATTTTTCTCTATTACCAACTTAGACCAGTTTGTTGGCTCTGTCAGTAGAGCGTCCGCCTCACAACCGGAAGGTCGTGGGTTCGAGCCCCGGCCGCGTCATACTAAAAGACGTTAAAAGACGGGAGTTGCTGCTACCTTGTTTGGCGTTCAACAATAAGGGATAGAGCAACGTCGATCTGGCGCTGCTTAGTGGCTGCATGCCGGGATCACGATCAATTGGGCAAAAAGAATTTCCATTTTCGGTTTAACTTTTAAAAGATTATTATTATTATTATTATATATAATTTGCAACAGGTTTTAAGAACTGATATGAAGCGGATGGGGTGGGGGGCGGTGGTGAGAATGAGACTTAGCATATCAAGTCTACTACGTAAACATTCATGAATAGTAATTATAAATATACGCAAAATACTGGAATCTTTTACCCAAATCGTTATTATATCAGTTCGTAAAATTGCAAGTGACATGAATGGGAATTTCAGTTCTACAGCTTAGCCATTCAGTTTTGCGGCTACACCTTACCCCTCCCCCTCCCCCAATCTATCTCTATAAAATATAATGAAGTGAAAAAAATAACCTTTCTCTTGCAGTAAAGCTATATCGGGTAAGTGTAAATTTAATTTGGGAAATATTCCTCTTCAGCTTGGACTCGTGGGTTAGCTTTTGGGTGGAATCTCGTGCATTATGTACTGCTTTCAGATCCAGGGAACATAGACGCAAGGAATTCTAATGCATGAATAAAGCAAAAAGAAAGGAATACAATTTAAGAAAAACTTTCATATATTTTAAAACTGGAATGTAAACAATGAATTCTGTCAGAAAAGCACTGCTTGGTAAGATTTATCAGAAATAATTTCTTATTGCTCACGAACATAAAGTCGACACACCTTTTGAGTTTAAACATTTGTGGGCAATGCATAACGTGATTCAGGATTTTGTTTGGTAAATTATCAATACAATTCTAGTTTCAGGGATGCCAGTTAGAATTGATCAGAGGGCTTGAAAAATCACCTAGAATGAATGAGCTAGCTTGTACACAAAAAACCTAAACTATGGTATGAAAATAACTCGCCAGGGCCTGAATTCAGGCTATTGCCTGAAAACTGGCATTCCTGTAGTTTGCTGATGAGGGTTGAATGAAAGCTCCTTGACCTATGCTGAAGGGTAAAAAAACCCTAAGGCCACAATGTGCTTTGAATCCACTGCTTTGACGAGACATGTTAAAAAAGGATGCCTATACAATTAATGAGAAAATAAATAAAGTTAAAACAAAACGAATGGTTGATAATGTATGCATGTGCAACACATATACTACAAACTTCTTTAATTGAACAGCCTCTGAGGAAAGAATTTTGTTTACCATTTATGGGTATATTATTTCCAGATAAAGATTTCTGCATGTATATACGGTAGCCTATAAGATAAATTTGCGGTCTAAAGACTATAGAAACGACTTGTTTAAGGTTACATGTATGCGACACAAAAGACACTGCTTTATTCCTCTACACATCGACATGCAATGCTCAATTTCCAGACATTTGGGCCCGGGCATGTAGTACACTTTCTCACAGGTTTCACTGCAAACCACCGCACATTACAAGTGCATACCGATGGTGGTTGCGGGCGGGCGCACGCCTGTGTGAAGTCATCTACCGTATAATGAGGAGGTAGATAACTTCACATAGAATTACGTGCCCCCGCAACCCTCCATCTGTATGCACTTGTATTGTGCAGCGGTTTGCCGTGCAACCTGTGAGAAAGTGTATACTAATATCAACGTTGTTCCGAAAAATACTCCCCCCGAAATAAGAAAATTGACCAGAAACAGGTTAGAAACATGACCGGCATATCCTGCCGCAGATCTGCCGCAGACTGTTCCTGTGGCATACTGGTATGCGGCAAGTCTGGAGCAAAGTTTCATCCTGCCGCAGATCTGACGCAGACTTTTCCCGTGGCATACTGGTATATGCGGCAAGTCTGCAGCAAAATTTCATCCTGCCGCAGATCTGCCGCAGACTGTTCCTGTGGCATACTGGTATGCCGCAAGTCTGCAGCAAAATTTGTTCTGCCGCTTACTTTGGCATACTTTGCCGCAGACTAAAAGTCTGCGGCAGGTCTGCGGCAGGTCTGCGGCATACTTTTCACTTTCCTATGGGTTTTGTTGATATGTATAGGTTCCATCTTAGATTCTCGTCTAGAATTATGCCAATATACTTACACAATGAAACCATCGGAATGGGTTTACTCTCTACTAGTAGATGTATATTAGGGTAAAGTCTATTTAAATTACTTCTGGTACCTACAACAGGAAACTCACATTTCTTAACCTTTAATTTCAATTTGTTGCATTTTAGATATTCACATACGGATTCTAGGTCGGATTCTAGGTCTTTGTTTAACGTTGTTGTCAAATCTTGAATATCATTACCGGTAGGCCTACTACTGAAATATATACATGTATTGCATACATTAAAGGGATCCGGTAACTTTGTCTCAGATTCTGAAACAAAATTCTGGATTTAGCTCATGATGCAATGATAATTATAAACCTTTAGGTCAGTCAGGAACCCCATGACTTTTACAAGCCGATCGCCTGTCTGATTATCAAGATATTTATGATTGAAATTACAAATTTTGAAAACCGTTCGCCTGACGGTTTTCATAACACTACAGTCTATTGGGGAAAACGAGTATGGTAAAACCGGTCACTCAAAGATTTTTACTGTTTTGAGGCACTTCTTGATCATTTTGAAGCGCAATTTGTTTAGGGCTTCAATTTTACACCACATCACAGACACTGATAACACGTAGGGCCGTGTATCTCAGATTTAACATTGTTAAACGATCCCTTTAATACCTTAGAATGCTTCACTGTAGTTGGTAGGTCGTTCACGTATATTAAAAATAGCATGGGTCCTACGATAGTACTTTGCCGTATTCCGTATGTAAGTTCTTTATTATTCAAGCTTATACCATTCATTGTAATAAATTGCTTTCTCCCTATAAGATAACATTCAAACCATTTGGTAACTTTTTCGGACATACTGAAAACACATAATTTTTGCAGAAGGATGTGATGATCAATGCAATCAAAAGCCTTTTGTAAATCGAGCATAACAATTTCTGTTGTGCACCCTTTGTCTATATTATCAAATAAATCTTCTCTGACATTTATAAGTGTAGTAGTCTTTGAGTGTTTTGTCCGAGAACCTGACTGATTATCACATAGTTAGTTGTTGTCAGTTAAAAATTCATATATCTACTTGAAAATAAAAAAAAACTTTTGCTAGTACTGGAATAACCGATATTGGTCTGTGATTGCTTTTTTCTTGTTTATCTCCCTTTTTATAAATGGGAGTTACACGTGATATTTTCCATTGAAGTGGTACAATTCCTTGACTCAAGGACATATTTATAATATGACACATGGGTTTGGCAATATATGGTGAAGTCATTTTTATAAACAATGCTTGGATCTCATCTGGACCAGTAGCCTTTTTGGCAGAAATGTCGTTTAATTCCTTTAAAACATTGTTTTCTGAAACATCAGCAAAATTTGTACTGAAATTGCTCTGGAGTCTCTGCAAAGTTTTTTACGATCGTGTTTTTATTTTAAAATAATTTTCCTTACAGTCACATCTATATCACGTGACGAACTCAATCGCATTGGCCGTTACGCTGGGTCCGCAGTTCTATGTGCCTTCTGTAAGAAATACGGTGTGACAGTCCCAGAACAACAATCTCCAGATGGAAAAGAACTACTTTGCGAAATAATCAATGTTCTGAAACCAACGTTGGACTTCGAATTTGAAAGAATTAAGAAAGAAAAGAAGTCAAGTACCCCAAGAATAACTCTAAGACAGCTTCTGGAGAATGAACACCCACACTATGGTAAGGCACCTCATGCTATTATGTCGGATGGCACCTTGTCTTTTAGAACTCCCAAAAGGGTCTTTTTAAGGGATAATGCCAATAATAGTGTTTAATCTATTTTAGAACAAGATATATTAAATTAACAATGTTGGAGCACATTCTCCTGCTTGAATATAATTATGGGGCTTTTGATTTTGGGTATTTTAATATGTTGACGTCCCCCCCCCCCCCCCCCTCCGACTTCCAGAAATGGTATTTGTAGAAGTTCATCAAAATGAACCCTAATATTATCGTTTACCATAGGTAATACATTTTAGAACAAGAAATGGTAAAATAAAAATATAAAAAGTGAGCACACAATGTCGACAATCACAGAGGATAATATACAGTAATGTATTGTCTCTACCATAGTCTATGATCATGTTCCTCTGTATGAAATATAGTTATTATGAGGAAGGAGATATTGATTTGGGAACTTTAGGCAAGCAGATCATATTTCAAGTGATTACAAATAAGAATGCAACTTACTTGATTTATACATGTATTATCTTTTCTAGCCTGCCTTCTTGCCATGAAAAAACCATTCAATATCTTCGATGTAGAGCTGATTGATTTAGCCTTTCGCCTCATCATGGCCGACGTGTACCCGTTCGCCAAAGCTCTCAACATCAGCGATCAAGTGCTTAACTCTTACAGACGCATCATCAGACCTTCCGTTCTGACACAGGGCACTGCTAATATCATAAAGCAGGTGTCCATTAAAGAACGAGGGAAAATGATTACGCCCTTAAAACAGGCAGGGTATTCTGAAGAGGCAAGGGCACTATATTTTGGTAAGTGCTGAATCTTCTCAGTTATCCATGTTCTTTAAGACACAGATGAATAGGAAATATCTTATTGTGGCATAGGAAGGGCGATAGTATGCACGCGTTGTTCAAGTATTTTGCCCGGGGGTCTCATGCAGTCATGTAGAAATACTGTAAGCATGCGTGGCCGCAGGTTTTCCAAACACCCACTAAAGGATTTCTTCTGAAGCCAATATAGACCCTAAATGAGGATTTTGCATGGTTTTTTCCCGAATTCACACCCTAAACGGGTATTTAAAACAGTGTTCACCTAAACAAGTACCGTATTTGCTGGCGTAAAGACCCCAGTATCTTCGGAAGAGATAATATCAAAAAGTCTGGGTGCAGCCTAGCTATGCGCAACAAGAGTAAAAAAAAAAATGGCAGTCAAAACAGGTCAAACTAACAGGACGTATGTGTACATATATGGGACTAGGCTAAGTACAATTACTTTACTGACATTTTTGTGTTATATTGTTAATTGTTGACATGAAGTTTTGTCAATCTCATGAAGAAACTTCATAACTCACCAACCAAGAGCTACGGTTGATCTAGATCTATATAAGTTTCAGGCTATGGCTATAAAGCAATATTACCTCATCCTTGCATGCAGCCCGCCCGCTCCAAGCTATGGCGCAATACACGATCGACTGTGTAACTGCAGCCGGACAGAAAGCTAAAGTAGACGGCATCTGGCTTGCTGCCTATGGTGTCCGCAAAAAAGCAAAACAATTATTCATTAACACTGAACTTGCAGGCTAATCTTCCTTCTGATTATTGCGATAATGCACAACCGCGTTCAGTAGAACTAATTATATCCATAACAATGACGAAGAGGGTTACGTCGGGGAGATCCTGTACAAAATGTTGCTTTTAACGGGGTCTGGCCGCTATTCATAATATGAGATGAGGGTCGATCGCTGTTCATAATAGGAGATGAGGGTCGCTATTCATAATTCACATTGGGGGTCACTACTCATAAGGACCGTTATTCATATTACGAAATGAGGGTCTCTATTCATAGCACGAGAAGAGGGTAGCTATTCATAAAACAAGAAGATGGCCGCTAATAATAATACGAAATGAGGGTCGCTTTTCATAAATGGAGTTGAGGGTCGCTATTCATAATACGAGATGAGGGTCGCTATTCATAATATGAAATGAGGGTTGCCATTCATAATAGGAGTAGAAGGTCGCTATTCATAATACCCAATGAGGTTTGCTATTCAATACAAAATGGGGGCGGCTATTCATAATACAAAATGATGGTCGCTATTCGTAAAACGAAATGATGGTCGCTATTCATAATAGAGAGTAAGGGTCGCTATTCATAATGCGGAATGAGAGTCGCTATTTATAAAAATCAAATAGGCCTAAGCAATAAACAAAATGCTAATAACAAATCAAAATATTGGATGGAGGACACCCCACAGTTATGGGGTAGCTGGGGGGGGGGGGGGGGGGGGGCGACACATGGCCTTCAATATTTGTTATTTTTTTAAAGTATATATATTTACATTTTATCTTTGATAATTATATAGAGTACTGAAGCTGTGACATCATAACAATCTATTTTTAGAATTTCTCAATTTTTTCTTCATTTTCCGAAAGAGCATCATCAGTGTTATTTTGCTCTGGTTCATAACTTTACGAGCCAGACCAATATAATACTGAGCTCCTATAGGAAATCTTTTTATTCAGATGGTCATATCTCAGCCAATACTTAACATATTCAATTGGTTTTCGACATTTGGACATTATTTTTGATGCTCTTTCAGAAAATGAAGAAAAAATTGAGAAATTCTAGAAATAGATTTTTGATGACGTCACACTTCACCACTTGTGCTTCTGATGTAAAATTCACAATGTGAAAATGTATTTCAATAGAGAAGCAATAACATGAATCTGTACACTTCCAAATAGGTTCAATGCACAGCCAACATAAGTCCTTTCTTTGAAAAAAAGAATCACATTTTAAATCTATTTTATATTGTAGTGTTTACAAAAAGTACACAATGTACAATGAAGAGTTACATGTACTATTCTACTACCGGTATACATAATAATATAATAAGACTCTATGGCCCGAATTCACAAAGGAGGTTTAGATTTAACCCAGGCTAAATCTAACCCTGGGTTATTTAGCCCAGGCTAAATCTAACCCACGGTTTAAACCTCGCTCGGTATTCACAAAGCGTGGGTTAGATAACCCATGGTCTAAATCTAACCCACGGTTTAACCCACGGTTTAAGCATGCCTAAGAGAGCAAAAAAATAAACTGAGCATGCGCAGAATTGAAGCATTGAACTGAGCATGCGCGCTCAGTACACTTGGTTACTCCACCTAGTTCACCGTCGTCTGCTAAGTCCAGATTCAGTTGTTCAGTTTCGTACCTGCATATTTGTGTTATTAATTACTCGCCTACAAGTAGAGACTGCAACTGAAAACCGACCGATAAGACTTTAAACCACTATTCACATACTAAAACAGGTTCTCTAACAGATGTCCTCAAAATATTCTAGCATTTCGCATAAAGTACCTCAATAATTCCATTTCAATTTCTAAAAGTAAATCTAGACTAGATTTTAGATCTAACAAAGTTAGATCTAGACTAGGTCTAGATCTAGGTCTAGACTAGATTTCTAGATCTAGACTAGATTTCTAGGTCTAGAGTAGACCCAAGTTAGATCTAGACTAGATCTAGACCTAGATCTAGATCTAGAGTAGATCTAGAGTCTAGTCTAGATTTAACTTTAGGCCTACATGTTTTACAATAATTTACACAATACTTTTCATAAATTCATGCCATGGGTTTGGCGTGCTTTGACTAATTTCTTGAGACTGCATGAGGACTTTAGACCTAGATCTATCATCTAGTATGATCTAGAACCTAGCCTAGCCCAAGGCCTACGTCACTGCCACCGACATCGAGCTCAAGTCTTATTCAGTCAGTCCTGAGTGTCAGTGTAGGCCTAGTACTAGAGACTAGTCTAGATCAAGGTCTAGACCAGGCCTCGACTAATAGACTAGTAAAATCCATCAGCGTGGAAGAATTTTCATTTTCATTTCGGCATTTTTCGTTCTCCTCCGTTAGTCAGATGAGAAGCAGCATCATCAGCAAAGCAGAAAATACAAATGGAACTGTCGTTACCCCCCCCCCCCCCGAGGCCAGGAATGTCTCAAATGTCATGATTAACATACTTTTCTTCCCGAATCACACAATTTTGTGATGTTATAACTAATTTCGTATTGTTAGCTGGCACATTCGCAGTTATTGCGAAATTGCCTTGCCTCGCAGGATTACATAAACAACACAACACAAATACACACGCATGGGTCCGAGCTGCGTTAGGTTCTGCGACAATGTTCGCAAAGGCTGTGCAACTTACGATGAAGATTATTATTCGTGCACTTTTTACGCACATAAAACATGTTCAATTGGGCTTTCATTTTAGCTGAGCTGAAAATATGGTACAAATATGTTGTGGATAACTAAAAAATACTTACAATGTAGGCTATCACAGTTGAAAAAACAGCAACTTTGTGAAGGTCTCTTCACTTTGTTTCACCACAAATTTGTCAACAAAATTTGTACGGTCGTCTGCGCTAAAAAGCCAAAGCTCGCTGGTATGACGTCATATGACGCGTTAAACCGTGGGTTAAACCGTGGGTTAGATTTAGCCCGCTGTTTAAACCACCCTTCTGAGCAGGCTAAAAATATGACGTAATATGACGCGATTTAGCCTGGGTTAAATCTAAACTTCCTTTGTGAATACCAAAATAATGACCCATGGTCTGAAGCTCGGGGTTATGACGTATTTTGACGCGATTTAGCCTGGGTTAAATCTAGCCTGGGTTAAAACCACCTTTGTGAATTCGGGCCAATGGGTGCATGCAATTGATGCTTATCATGCTATGCTACTGACTCGCGCTAAATATATAAGCTACCTCTCGCGGCCGTTGTCCACACTATATCCAAAGATGACAGAGCGCCCCACGTCTATCATCTGTCTATAACTAGCTAGGCGGCGGCACAGGCAGCGGCCAGTACCGTTAGGCCTAATGGGCAATTATTACCCCTTTTTTTTCTTCCCCCGGTCTAGCCCTGAGGGCTAGAAAAATACCCCTAAATGCATAAAGGGCCTACCGGCACGTGCACCAGGATTTTGAACCATTTTGAAAAAATACCCTTTTTCTTGAAAATGGCCCAAAATTGTGAACCCCCGCAATTAATGCAGCACCTTTATACGCTTTTTCTTGGTCAAGCATGCTTACAGTATTTATATTTCACTGAGACCCCCAGGTATTTTGTGGTGATATCGTAGTCGAGTGGCTTAATCACAGGAAATGCTTTGCTTTTCTGGTTTAAAAAAATTGTGTCCATGCTGGGTACATGCCCCATCACAGCACTTGTGTCCTTGAGCGAGGCTTTTATCTACATTTCTCCTCTGTTCCCTGGTGATAAATAGGTACAGGGTAAGATGCAAACGACATTGTTGATGGATTAGCATGTACGCGCCCGTAAACAGTGACAAACTTGAATGCTCCCCAGGGAGTGGAGTAAGTGCAATATGTGATGTGCAGAATAGTGATTGAATCCAGTGACCAGAATAATGATAACACCGTAAGCGCGTTGGTCAGTTAATGGTAATTAAAGCATTTTAAAAGAAACATATATTATTTTCATTATTAGTATGCATAATGCATAAAGCAAATTTGTGGGAACTCACTTCTGGTTTGATTGCTCTATTAATGTTACACCTTCTCTTAAACATGGCAGTGATTTATCTTTTTATGGACTCATAAATAATCAAAATGGATGGTAACTATTGAATTTGAGTGGTTTCAAATAAGCAAATTACCATCTGTTCTAACATATGTAATGATATAAATTAAAAAAAATTAAAATCATCGCTCAGGAGGGTTATCTTTTTAGAGGACCTATATTAATACGCTGTCTATAATATATTTTGAGTAGTGCCCTAAGGGAGAAGTAACTTCTGAGAAAAACAGAAATTAATGATATTTTTGTACACAGCAACTGGGAGAGTTATCCACGTCCTACATCACAATCCGCTGATGGAACTACCAATTTGAAATTCGCATAGACTTCATGATCTCATATTTCAAACATTCATAACTTCCTTCCTATTGTTCCGATTCATTTCAAACTTTTGCCATTCTGTTTCTGTTATTTTTCTGCTTTCATACAAATCAATTAATTACAAGGGTTTATTTGCCCTTTAATAGCTATGATAATGGGCCTGCTTGGTCTACTTCTCAGTAGCATACAGCCTGAATAAGATCGGTCAGAGGCAGGGTGGTGGGGTAACATCTTCCACAGCTACCCCATGACTGTGGGGGTGTCCTCCATCCAATATTTCCCTTTGTTATAAGCATTTTGTTTATTGCTTAGGCCTATTTGATTTTTATGAATAGAGACTCTCATTATGAATAGCGACCCTTATTTCGTTTTACAAATAGCGACCATCATTTCGTATTATGAATAGCGACACTCATTCCCCATTATGAATAGCGACCCCCATTTCGTATTGAATAGCGACACTCATTCCGTATTATGAATAGCAACCCTATTCTCATATTATGAATAGTGACCCTCATTTTGTATTATGAAAAGCGACCCCCATTTTGTATTGAATAGCGACACTCATTCCGTATTATGAATAGCAACCCTATTCTCATATTATGAATAGCGACCCTCATTTTCTATCATGAAAAGCGACCCCCATTTTGTATTGAATAGCGACACTCATTTTGTATTATGAAAAGCGACACTCATTCCCCATTATGAATAGCGACCCTCTTCTCCTATTATGAATAGCGACCCTCATTTCGTATTATGAATAGCGACCCTTTTCTCCTATTATGAATAGCGACCCTCTTCTCCTATTATGAATAGCGACACTCATTCCCCATTATGAATAGCGACCTTATTCTCCTATTATGAATAGCGACCCTCATTGCGAATTATGAATAACAACCCCCATTTTGTATTGAATAGCGACTCTCATTACGTTTTATGAATAGCAACCCTATTCTCATATTATGAATAGCGACCCTCATTTTGTATTATGAAAAGCGACCCCCATTTTGTATTGAATAGCGACACTCATTCCGTATTATGAATAGCAACCCTATTCTCATATTATGAATAGCGACCCTCATTTTGTATTATAAAATGCGACCCCCATTTTGTATTGAATAGCGACACTCATTACGTATTATGAATAGCGACCCTCATTTCGTATTATGAATAGTGACCCTCTTCTCGTATTATGAATAGCGACCCTCATTCTGTTTTATGAATAGTGACCCTCTTCTCATATTATGAATAGCGACCCTCTACTCCTATTACATTTCGTATGAATAGCAGTCCTCATGAATAATGACCCTTTTCTCAGATCATGAATAGGGGTCCTTATGATTAGCGACATTGACCCTTTTAAACGTGTTAAGTGTGCCAAGAAAAGGAGATACAATAGCTCCTTCCATGCCCGTTTGTGTGGTCCTTAGAATGATGCTTCATAATCCAGGCAATTCTTTAGCCGCTAACAAGAAAATTTGGGGTGAATTAAAATCATATTCCTTTTCCTTTAACAAACGGGTATTCGTATATGACAGGATTTGAAATCAGCCTTGGAGACGTGATAGAAGTTGAGAAACGAGTTAACATGGCACAACTGACAAAACAACTGGGTATTTCTGATGACGTTCAATCAACTGAGCCAGGCAACCAAGTGAAGCCTGTACTTCTTAAATGGAGAGACACTGTTCACTCTTCAACCTTCAACCATCGCTTGGTATTGGCCGACGCGTTGTTCAGCATGGAGGAGGAGCAACTCGCACTAGACATCATCTCAGGTATGTAATTTTACTCCGTGAGTCTTGTGTAGAGACTAATAGAGGGCCTGTTTAAATCACACATGTTTACGGTACTCATTATCGCTTTATCGCCATTTTGAGGGAGTGACTATCTCATGCACTTGCGAAATTCAACGCTTTTTTCTCTGGAAATATGTGTTTCCCGGCGAGTTATGTCACTAAATTGAATTTTATTTTATGTTTGTAATTTCCATCGGGAACATATTTTGGAGCCCTTTCGTTCCTCTTTTGAGATTTCTCTACATCATAGACTCGGGAGCCTGGGAAAACTGGCCCCTCCAAAATCCGTGGAGTTAGCGGGGAGATCGAGGCAAGGACTTTGAGCCGCAATGTCTGGGGGCTGAATTGCATCATGGGTCTAAGGGCGCGTTCATGCTTGATTTTGACGGCCAGAATCAGGCATCCGTTACGCGTTTAGTTTAAAACACGATTGCGTTCATGCTCACTTTTGTAGAATCACCGAAAAACGGCGATCACGATCGCCGATCGTAAACTCACAAAAAGATGCGTTTACAATTTGTAAACGCGTTTAAATGGGGTCAACGCACTGACCTCTAGTGGGTCTACATAGCATGCGCACACAGGTTTGCGAATCCAGCTGAAGGCCACCCAAGGAGAATTGCCTGGAGAAGTGAGCATGAACAGTGCACCGTGGAACTGCGATTACGATGAGCGTTTACGATGAGCGTTACAAATCGCTCATTCTGCCTTCAAAATCAAGCATGAACGCGCCCTAAGTACCCCACGACTACCACACACCTGCCTCATGAACCTAAGTGTTCCGCAGCGGGGATAATATTATAATGATAATAATTTAAGATTTGTAGATAGCGCACATATCTGCCTATAATGGCACTCAAGGCGCACAAAAAAGATTTACTACTAAAATTTCAAATACAAACAATAAACAAATTAAAGTTAACAAACTTATAATAAATCAACAAATCAATGACAAATGCAAATTACAGATTCAGTAAGAAATCGAAATGACATCAAGTGTGTTCATGAGAGTAAGTGATATATTTCCTTTGTGAGGTAGGTCTTTAGATTCTTATGGAATAGTTCATTCTTTTTGCTTGATTTGATGTATGAAGGGTGTGCATTGCACAAACGCTGGGCTGCTACATAAGACCTGTCACCCCAAGACTCCCTCGTTCGAGCTTCCTGGAACTGGTGGACATTCCCTGAACGCAGACCAGGTCTAGAAGATCTCTTCTGACAAGTACAAGGGTGTCTGGTTGGTTTTAATTTAAAAAACCAGGGAAAGTACCTTGTACTTGATTCTTTGCCTCACAGGCAGCCAGTGTAGATCCACGAGAACGGGAGTCATATGATCAAATTATGATTTTGATCGGGTGACAAGCCGAGCTGCAGAGTGTTGGACCTTCTGCAGTCGTTTGATGAGAGTGTCTGGCAGTCCATTGTACATGTCCATTCGTGACGTGACGAGTGCATGGACTGCCTGCTTCGTGGCATGTGGAGTCAGATAATCCCGGATTTGACGAATGTGTCTGATGTGATAACATGCTGATCGGATGCAGCTAGAGATTTGGGGTTCCATTGACATGTTGGAATCCAGTGTCAGACCTAGTGAACATACTTTTTTGATATTTGGAAAATAACGTTTTGTGATAAAATTCAATAATTCAAGAAAAGAAATTCTTCCATATGACAACAAACCGATAAAACAAGGTGTGCTTAGCTTGTGTGGTAGTGGCAGGCAAACCCCTCTTTTCTCACTTTGGCCCTCCACTTATGATGGCAAAAGCAAAATTCCACTATTGCCCCCTTTTTCGCAGGGATAAAATGTCAGAATTTCTCAAAGAGTCTTTACAATCAATTCAAAATACTCAAATATATATAAGCAGGTTCAAATATGAAAGCATATTTCGACGAATTATGAAAATCTACGTTAATGAAGGTACGTTTAAATATGGAAGAACATAGCCAGTCTGTACTACTAATGAAATATTCTCAAGATATAAATCTTTGTATTTGAATCATTTTCCTTTGTTGTCAGGAGTGCATAGAAATAGGGTGATAAACAAACCTATGTTAGAACTACTAGCGGCTACCGTTCCGGAGGGACAAGTACCTACATATGAAGTCATGGACCAAAAGACGAAGAATGAAAAGGGATTGGTAAAATGGTCTGCGAAGAGTCCTACAGAATCGAGCAACAAACTTCTTGGTGCTGGATGCTATGCCTTTGCATATGAGAATATGGCAGGTAATGTTGAATGTAAAGATTGTTTATCAGTTATAAAGTCAGTACATTTGTATCATGAATCATAATTTTACCTATCTTCTACAATCCTACCGTCTTCATCTATTCAGGGCCTCTTATTCTTATTACTGGTATATTAATGATATGTAGAGAAACAGTGTTAAATTGAAGGAAATTCATAGTTTCTGTGATTCTTGATATGCTATCCGTATGAGCGAATGTCATATCTAACAAATCACCGTGCAAGTTGCCAGCACCCACTTGCTTATAATAAGACTATATAGCAATGATAATAATGCAATACATTATTGATACTTGTAAAATCTTATCGTCATTCCACCTCACTTGGTGTTTATCTATATTATTTTTGATGCATGACTATATTTGTTTCGATTGTTAATTGTTTAATTTTGTTTTCTGCAGTCAACTGAAAAATTATTTTACTGATGTTTGTATGAGTGTATATATAATTTTGCAATACCATGTAACACAACAAATTTCCATTGCTTAAATGGACAATAAATATGAACCTTATAGTTGCAGTAGTAAGATATATTATGTTTTTGGGTTGTCAGTCCGTCCGTCCATCCCATTCTCGTGATCGCGTTATCTCAAGAACCCATTGATGGATTCCTGCCAAACTTGGGTCATGTATGTATCTTGCAGAGCCAATGAACTGATTAGATTTTGGGGTCACGAGGTCAAAGGTCACAGTGCTCATTATGTATGCAAACATAGCTTGTGATCGTTTTTTTCAAGAACCCATTGATGGATTTCCGTCAAACTTGGGTCATGTATGTATCCTATAAAGCCAATTAACTGATTAGATTTTAGGGTCATGAGATCCAAGGTCAAAGGTCACAAGGCTCATTATATATGCAAAAATAGCTTGTGATCGCGTTATCACCAGAACCAATTGTTCAATTCCTGCCAAACTTGGGTCATGTATGTACTTTGCAAAGCCAATAAACTGATTAGATTTTAAGGTCATGAGATCCAAGGTCAAAGGTCACAGGGCTCATTATGTATTCAAAAAAAGCTTGTGATCACGTTATAAATCTCAAGAACCCATTGATGGATTCCTGCCAAACTTGGGTCATGAATTTATCTTGCAGAGCTCATGAACTGATTAGATTTTGGGGTCACGAGGTCAAATGTCAAAGGTCACAGGGCTCATTATGTATGCAAAAATAGCTCGCTTCTGTTTTGGTGTGTAAAATTGCTCCATGGCGGAGCTTGGCATCATTAGGCATCATTTTTTATTGCCCGCGGTCGCGAAGGTCCATCTAGTTTGCTTAGCTTTAATAATCAATGGAATGTTTAAAAGCATATAAATATTTACTGTACACTATGTTCTCATGTTGGCGTGTATGAGATTAATCATAATGCAGCTTAGTTTTTATTGATAAATACGCCAGCTTCGCTCAACAATCTGCAAATATAAAATAGTTATCACCAAATCCAGAATCTCATCTGCCAAAAAAAAGCTTTGAATTCTTGAAAAAACATCCTACTTGACATCAGAGAAAATAATGTGTTGCCACTTTTAAAAAAATCCTTTGGAACATATAGTTTTCCCCCCACTAGCAAAATCTCACATTCATACTTTTTATGCCTCCGCCACCGAAGGTGGTGCCGGAGGCATCATGTTTTCGGGTTGTCCGTCCGTACGTCCGTCCGTACGTCCGTCCGTACGTCCGTCCGTCCGTACGTCCGTCCGTCCGTCCCGTTTGACCGTTATCACAATATCTCAAGAACCATTTAAGATTTAAACTTAAGACTCGGGAATAGTATTTATCACCATAGGAAGACGATCTGATTAGATTTTGGAGTACGTAGGTCAAAGGTCACAGGTCACAGAGGTCAACTTATGAAATTCCTTGTATTGAGTTTGTTAGCGCGATATCTCAAGAACCATTTGAGATTTAAACTTAAAACTTAAGGATAGTATGTATCACCATAGGAAGACGATCTGATTAGATTTTGGAGCACGTATGTCAAAGGTCAAGGGTCACAGAGGTCAACTTATGAAATTCCATACATTGAGATTGTTATCATGATATCTCAAGAACCACTGGAGATTTAAACTTAAAACTTAGTGATAGTGTGTATCACTATAGGAAAACAATCTGATTACATTTTGGAGCACGTAGGTCAAAGGTCAAAGGTCACAGGGCTCATTATGTATGCAAAAACAGCTTGTGATCGCGTTATCTGAACAACCGATTGATGGATTCCTGCCAAACTTTGGTCATGTATGTATCTTGCAGAGCTGATGAACTGATTAGATTTTGGGGTCACGAGGTCAAAGGTCAAAGGTCACAGGGCTCATTATGTATGCAAAAACAGCTTGTGATCGCGTTATCTGAACAACCGATTGATGGATTCCTGCCAAACTTTGGTCATGTATGTTACTTGCAGAGCTGATGAACTGATTAGATTTTGGGGTCATGAGGTAAAGGTCAAGGTCATGCGGCTCATTATGTATGCAAAAATAGCTTGTGATCGTATTATCATTAGAACAGATTGATGGATTCCTGCCAAACTTAGATCATTTATGTATCTTGCAGAGCCAATGAATGGTTCATATAAAGATCAAAGGTCATGGGCTCATTATGTATGCAAAAATAGCTTGTGGACGCATTCTCATTAGAACTGACAGATGGATTACTATTTAACTCAGGAAATCTTGCAGAGCCAATGAACTGAGTAGATTTTAGGGTCATGAGGTCAAAGATCAAAGGGTCATATATGTTTATGAGAAATTGCTTGTAATCACGATATTCTGAGAACATGTTAATGGATTACAATTGAACTTGAATTTGAAAAATTTCTTCCGTTTCGGTTTGTAAAATTGCTCTATGACGGAGGCATCATTTTCGACTGCGCGCAGTCGAATTCCATCTAGTTTATTCTTAGTTTCTCATGTTTTGTCTTTATATTCATGGTTTTGCACATGTTTCGTACTCCTTGTTTTTAGCGCTGCTATAAATATGTGTTTTGTTCTTTATTCTGGTTTTGTTTGTAACATCTGGTAGTGTTCCATCATGGAACGGACACTGGGAACGTGACAACTAAGGAGCGGCGTCATGGAAGCATCGCCATTAACAAGCCAGGTAAAGAACTCCAGGCATTAGGGAAATGCATGAGATGTATCTGTGCATTTGAATGATTTTAACAAAAATATGGTGTCTTATAAGTGCATCGTTTATATGAGGGATATGATATGATATGATATGATCGAGCGCCCAAACAGGCTGCTCTCTTTTCAGCTCTCTGAATTTTGCATTATTTACCTATGTTCTTGACCTTCTTATGTTAACTTGAAGTTATCATTGTACTAATCAAGCAACCTGGACTGTTTTGGCAAAGTTTTGAACGGATTCTTGCTGCAGTTTTCTTTCAGTAAGAGAGAGAGAAATTTCACCCAGTTTGTATTGAAGTGTGCATGAGCTTGCTACGGTCAGCCATGATAAGAGCCTCTGCTGTGGCTACTTATTCATCATGGTCAGTCAGCCTTTGAACTTGTTCTATTGACTGTGTGTCCTACATTTCTATGGGACAATGGAGCTACTTAAGCTGTTATCTATTCATCTTATTTTACTGGTATGTAGCCACTCTCTACCAAACTTTCAACTGTCATGTATTACACATACATACATGTACAAGGATCTCCAAACATTTTCAAACTATCCCACTTTATTGAGGAAGTTTTCTGGACTCCCAATCCCATACTACGCTAACGCATCATCATCTTTTCATCTCCAGCTTATGAAATGTGGGGATGTGTGTCCAAATCCTGGCCCAAATGAACATGATGGATCTGTGGATAAGAACATATCTACTAGCACACCTACCCGTTCAAACGTTATTCATCACTATGACCCTGGGTACATGAAGTCTATTAACCAGACATCATGGATCATGACACATGCCACGCTTCCTACAAATGTCAGAAGCCTCATACAAGAACTTGGAATCTCGCAACACGATGAGGGAAGGTCATTGAAACGGAAGAGAACTCGTCGTAAAAGACGGGGAGGTAAGCCTCGTCAGAACTTGAACTCATCCTTGATCATGCCTCAATCTGCTCATGTAGCAAGGCCCCATGAAATTAACATTCCTGTGGTCATCACGTCCAGGGCACCACGTGCATCTGCCCCCCTGAGCAAACACCCATCACAGCACCTCAGGAAAATCCCAGCAGCCACTAGTCTCCAGGGGAACAAGATTTCTCTAACAAGAGTGGGACTTTGGAACGCTCGATCCCTGATGAATAAAGAAACTGAAGTTTGTGACTTTATCATCTCGGAATGTCTTGACGTCCTAGCTGTCACAGAGTCTTGGCTCAGAGGCGATGGCAGGGACGGTCCTACAATTGCAGACATACAGAATACACTTCAGGACTTCAAACTCCTAAAACTACCCCGAAAAGGAAAGAGAGGTGGTGGTCTCTGTGTAATTTTGCGAAATTCCTTCTCTCCAAAAATGAAGCCACATGTGTTTGACACATTTGAATGCCTTGAGGTAACTCTACGCTCTGGCCAGTCCAATGATCAAAGAAGCCTTTCACTCTTTGTAATCTATAGACCTCCATCATGCTCGCGGGGCCAGTCATTTGGACGTTTCCTGGTGGAGTTCTCAGAACTACTAGAATCGGTCAACTTGCTCATAAATCAGGTGGTTATTTTAGGGGATTTCAACATTCACGTTGACAATAAAACAAATGCAGATGCAAATAACTTTAAAGATCTACTGGAGTCGGCTGGTTTGAGTCAACTCATATCCCAGCCTACTCATATTAAAGGACACACTCTTGACCTGGTCATCATGAGAGAAACTGATCAGTCAATCAGGGACATTGTGGTAACTCAGACTTTGCCATCTGATCACTCGGCGATCATCTTTTCACTCCCCTTCATGAGACCACCAATAACGACTAAAATCGTTCATGCTCGTAAGTTACGTGAACTCGATATTGATCAATTCAAGTTAGATATCACCCAGTCCTTTGAAGCAGTTACTAACCTGGAAGAAATGGACATTGACCAGAAAGTAGATGTTTTCAATAGCTCTCTTGCATCAAATCTTGATCGTCACGCACCAGTCAAGCAAAGGAAAGTGAAACTGCGTCCCTATGCTCCTTGGTACAACCATGAAATCCGGAAGGCTAAACAATCTCTTCGTGCAAGGGAAAGGCGGTGGAAAAAGACCAGGTGCTCATCTACAACAGTAGTATCTGACGACATGAAGAAAGCAACGAGAGAATATAACCAGCTAGTCAATAGCTTTAGGAGTCAGCATCTCCACGAACTCATATCCACTAGCAACAGTAAACAACTGTTTAATGTGATTGACAGGATGACAGCTGAAAAGCCTTCTAAATCACTGCCCTCATATCAGTCCAGTGCTGAAATCACTCAGAAGTTCTCAAAGTTTTTTGACAATAAAATTCATCTATTGAGATCTTCATTTACTTCGTCTTCCAACATCGCTGAAGTGGAAGTCAGTGACCATCATCTTGATAAGTTTGCGCCAGTTTCCCAAGCAGATGTACTGAAGATCATCAAGTCACATAAAATGAAATCATGTGACTTAGATCCCCTACCAGCACCCATTCTTAGCCAATGTATAGAGCTTCTGGTTCCGGCCATCACGGACATAACCAACGACTCGCTAGAATGTGGAGTTTTCCCTTCAGCACTCAAGTCTGCTTTGATTCATCCCACCCTAAAACGACCATCTTTGGATGCAGAAAATTTGAGAAACTTTAGACCAATCTCAAATTTGCCATTTTTGGGCAAGGTAGTAGAACGAGTAGTCTCAAATCAATTTACTGAATACCTTACTGCAAATTCCCTTCTCGCATCCCGACAGTCTGCCTATCGTAAAAATCACAGCGTGGAAACTGCGTTACTTCGAGTCCAAGACGATATACTTCGTGCTTTGGATACTGGAGATGATGCGATTCTCATACTGTTAGACTTAACATCAGCTTTCGACACTGTCGATCACCGTGTTCTTATATCCAGGTTGGAAACACGTTTTGGCGTCTCTGGAACTGCTACCAAGTGGTTTAAATCTTACATCACTGGACGATACCAACAAGTGATCATCGATGGCTCACGATCCGATCCTACTCTGCTTAGGTGGGGGGTGCCACAAGGCTCCGTCGTCGGCCCCGTACTTTTTACATGTTATTCGACACCTTTAGAGGACATCATTCATTCCCACGGTTTCTCCTCGATGATATATGCCGACGACACCCAACTATATATTACTGTTAAGTCTGGACAAATTCTTCAAATGTTGCAGAAACTGGAAGATTGTCTACATGCCATTCGCTCCTGGTTGACTGAAAACTTTCTTCTCTTGAACGACAACAAGATGGAAGTGCTCCACCTGTTTTCTCACCGAAGAAGAAATACAATAGAACTCCCTCCGATTCAAATAACAAATGGCTCTGTAAATCCCTCCAAAACAGTTGTTAACTTAGGTGTCACATTTGATCAAAACCTTTCAATGCGCCCCCATGTAAATAGTATCTGTCGTAAAGCATCCTTCGCCCTGAGAAAAATTGGTAAAATTCGTAAATTCCTTTCCAAGCCATCCACTGAAATCCTCGTCCACGCATTTATCAGTTCACTCCTTGACAGTTGTAATAGCTTGCTCCATGGAATTCCGGAAAAAGATATGGCCAAGCTGCAAAGAATCCAGAACTCTGCAGCACGTCTAGTGTCTCTCACCAAAAAACATGACCATATTACACCAACCCTTAAACAATTGCATTGGCTCCCCATTCAATTTCGCGTCCAGTTCAAAGTTCTTCTTTTAACCTTCAAGTCTCTTCATGGTCATGCCCCAAATTATCTTTCTGAACTGATTCAATTATACACACCCAATAGTTCCCTTCGTTCTGCAAATCAAACTCTCTTGACCGTTAAAAAAGCAAAAACAAAATACTTTGGTGATAGGTCCTTTTCATGCTCTGCTCCACGTCTGTGGAATTCTCTCCCAGCCTCCATTCGTTCCATCTCTGATATTACTTTGTTTCGATTAAAATTAAAAACCTACCTAATGGAAAATGCATATTCTACCTAGCTCTTAAATTGTTACCTAGTTCTTAAATTGTTACCTAGTTCTTATATTGTTACCTTACCTTGTTATCTTATGTTTCATAATTTCACTTTCATTCATTTGTTTTCTTGTCATTACTCTGTTAAGTTTTAATTGTATCAATATTGTAAAGCGCTTTGATATAAATGTTTTATGAAAAGCGCTATATAAGTAAAAGTTATTATTATTATTATTATGCTATGGCGATAAACTCATGTGAACCTAGCTCAGATTGACGTACCGTATACTTTTTTGGGTTCAATGTTTAATAACCTTGAGCAGCAGGTAGTACTTCATATAATATAGTTAGTTGCATGTTTTATTTTGATCAATTTATATTTTTTGTTTTTATTAGTTTGTAATAAAGGTGGAAAGGGAGGTAAAGAGACAAAAGAAGGTATGGAAAAAGCCACAAATGGTGACACACTCATAGACAACACCTGTAAGGAAGGTAAGAGAAACAATTAGACATTCTATTGGCTAAGAAATTAACAAACAAACAAAATAAAACATCAAACACAAGTAAAGTCCCCCTCCCCACAACCCTGCTCGATCTTCTTGTAAATATTACTCTTCGAACTCTTCCAGATACTAAGTTTGGCAATTAAGTATTAAAGATATTTTTCCAAAGTCACTTTTTCAATTTTGACATTTTGTATCAATACCGAGTAGAGCTTAATGTGTACATGGGACTATATACGCTTCACTATTTCAATTTTGACATTTTGTTTCAATACTGAATAGAGCTTAGAATGTGTACATGGGACAATGCTTCACACAAATGTAGCCATTTTAGTTTCAGGAAGAAAGATTTGATTATGCCCGGCCATGTAGTAAGGTACATTATTGAAATTCACTGCTAGGAATTGCTGCCTATCGATGGCAAAGAATGGGCTAAACGTCAATTTAACATCCTATTTACGATTCTATTAACAAAACATGTAGGTATGAATGGGCCTAATTAATGTGCATTTAATTCCAAAGTCTTTAGTTTGTTTCTCTTTGTGTAATCCAGGCACAAGAAAGGGTTTAGAGCAGGTAGCAAAGGACAATCACACCATACCAACTGAGGGAATGCAAGAAGCCAACACTACTGAGGAAGATAAAGGTATGTTTTAAATATATATCTTTTAAATTACTGGTAGTAAAATTAAAAAGAAGTGACTTGTTTACATTTTCTAAATACTTGAAGAAATTCTAAGACTGAAACAATGCTACCATTTCAAATTTCCAGTCCAAATTTCGAACATGCTAAGCCAATATTTTTTGTTATGAAGGAAAAAGTCACATTTCTTGGTCAACTTTCACATGATATTGACAATGTTTAATACCTGCATATTGAAATGCAGCATTTCATCAGTGCTTTCGAGTCGATTGATATCTGCTTTCAAAATAGTTCACATGGTATGTGTTAACTGTTTCTTCTTTCTTTGGTAGTATATTTGATGTATAATAAATTTTGTGCATTAATTCTCTTAGGGGGAAGTCAGAATAGTGAGGACAAGAATTCCTTGGGGAAAGAAGCGACGGACACAAACAACGTGATTGCTGAGATATCCAGAGAAGAAAAAATTCCTAGTCTGACTAATGAAGAAGGTAACATAAAAACGTTTACATAATTAAGCGTGAAGACAGTACAATCATATAGAAATTGGAAAATGATAATATAATTTATTATCGGGAGATTCGCGATCAGTCCATCATTGTAGATATCAACAGTACTCTACAGAACTACAATGTACTACACGAACATCGTCTGACGAGGGGTGGAGGCATATGCATCATATAAATCGATCATGTCTCCAACTGACACAAAATATATACCTCTACCAAATTTGCATCTTTTGAACATATGGACATGTCAGTTCGTGTCTCTCCTTCCATTCTCTTCAGAATGTGTGCATTTTATCGGCCACCTCCATCGTCGAAAAACAAACTCACGTATGAAATGTTTATTCGAGACTTTTTATCCTTCTTAGAATCAGTGACAATTTCTGAGCATCCACCAGTCTTGTTGGGAGATTTCAACATACACGTTGATAATGGCAGGGATAGTGATTCCAAGACCTTTCTTGATATTCTGTATTCAGAAGATCTCTTTCAGCATGTGAAAGGATCTACTCACCGGGCTGGGCATACACTAGATCTTTTGATTTCCAGGAAGGACGACGACAACTTTGTTCTCAATACTGATATAATTTCTGGATTACCATCTGATCATTTAGCTGTTTTCTGTACCCTCAACTTTGATCGTCCTGCACCAACTATGAAGCGAATTGCATGCAGGAAGTTTCGGAGCATTGACCTGGATCAACTCCGGAATGACATCCAGAACTCATCTCTTGCAGCAACAAATGACACAAATGCATCTGATATGGCGGACAGATACAACTTGGTGCTCAAAGATTTACTTGACAAACATGCACCTGAAAACCTGACACTAATCTCACTCAGGCCCAACGCTCCTTGGTATAACGAGACGGTCCGCGAAGCTAAGCGAATGAGACGGCGTGCTGAGCGCAAATCTGCCAAATCCGGCCTGGAGATCGACCAACAGATTTACGACGTGCAATGTAAATCTTACGATGATATCCTGTGTGCTTCGAAATCGCAATATCTAACGAATGAGATAGCACAGAGTGACATTAAGGGTCTGTTCCAGATTGTACAGAAGTTATCCTGTCCAAAATCACAGCAGGTCCTACCAAACCGAGACTCCAATGAGGATTTGGCAGACGAATTTGGAGTGTTCTTTCATGGTAAGATTGGCGATCTTGTCACTAGTCTTGAAGTACCCTGTAATATGATGGACTTCGAGAATCAGCCTACCTCAAAAGCAATATCTCAGTTTGAACAGGTGTCTGAAAGTACTGTTCGAAAGGTACGGGAGAGTCCATCAAAGTCATGTCAACTAGACCCTGTGCCTACCTGGTTAATGATAACTCAACTTATAAATCTATCTTTGTCGTCCGGAATAGTACCTGCAGCATACAAGAAATCTCACGTGATTCCATTTCTGAAGAAGAAAGCAATTGGATCCAGATGAATTCAGGCATTACAGGCCAATCTCCAACTTGATGTTCATTTCAAAGGACCTTGAGAGGATTGTCACAGCTCAACTTTGTGCATATACCTAGAGACGAACGACCTGTTCCCGTGTATGCAGTCTGCATACAGACAGTTCTATTCAACAGAGACTGCCCTCATCAAAGTCTACAACGATCTGCTACTGGCTGTCGATAGAGGGCTAGAGGCTGTTTTGGTTTTGCTTGATTTCTCGGCTGCTTTTGAAACGATCGACCATGCCAAATTGATGTGTCGTTTGCGTCATGATTATGGATTTGATGGAAAGGTACTGCAGTGGCTTTCTTCTTTCCTGGAGGACCATCATCAAGTTATTGTTGTCAACAGAGTTCCTTCTAAAGCATTCCCACTCCCCTGGGGTGTTCCCCAAGGATCCGTTCTAGGACCTCTGCTCTTTTCCCTTAACACGGGTCTGCTCAGTGAGGTCATCCATGCTCATGATGGCGTCATGCATATGATGTATAGTGCTACATAGTGCTCAAGCAATATGATGCTTCCAGTTGCATTTCCAAGCTCAACAGGTGCGTCAGTGACGTGAAAAGCTGGTCCCGCGGCAATAATCTTGTGTTCAACGGCACAAAACAGAAGTTATTCATATAACTTCCATGTTTCGCAATTCCAGTGTGGATCTTGACATGGATGGCTCAACAATCACTCTTTCCCACTCTGCCAAGGATCTGTAAGTCACGATGCTGGAAAACGTGCTGAATGTGAACCAGCAAATACGCAACGTGTGTTGTATCACAGCTTTCGGGATCCACAAAGTTGGAAAGCTGCGAAAATTTCTGGATCAAACTTCTACTCATCGTCTTGTTAATGCCTTTGTAACTTCCCACCTTGATTACTAGTAATGGACTATTAATCAATCTCCCTAGCTCTCATTTAGCCCCTCTTCAACATATTCAGAACACAGCAGCACGCCTCATCACACGTACAAGAAAACATGAACATATCACACTGATCATTCGTTCTCTACACTGGCTCCCCCTCCAACAGCGTATCAAAATTCAAGATTTTCATGCTGACATACAAGGCCTTTCAAAAACTTGCTGCCTCATATCTCTTGGCACTCATCACTCCTAAAACTCGTACTTCATCTATGCGTCTCCGATCATCATCCACAGCACATCTTCATGTGGCCCCAGGACTTCGCACCCACACGTACCGCTATGGAAATCGTGCCTTTTCTGTCTGTGCCCCCCAACTTTGGAACAATCTTCTTCATGAAATACGCGAGTCCCCAACGTTAGAAACATTCAAGAGTAAACTTAAGACTTATCTGTTCAATATGTAATGTAATGTAATCATATTTTGTTTTCTATAAAGCGTTATGTAAATATCAACTATTATTATTGTATGACTGTTATTAGGAATTTGTTATTATAATTATGTATCATGTATTATATTGTTGTAATCTGTAGGTTAACATTACTTTAATTTTGTTTTTGTTAAGCGCTTAGAAACTTTGTATTAAGCGCTTTATAAATGTAATATATTATTATTATTATTATTAAGATATAAGGCAGAGGATGGTTTTGTCGATAATATCCTCGATAAAACCGTTATCATCGCTCAAATTTGGAGTAATAAAAATAACAGTTATCGTAAATAAAGTGGGGTCTGCTTCTAACTCATAAGGACCGCTATTCATGATACAAAATCGGGATCGTTATTCATAAGGGTCCATATTCATAATAAGAGGAAAGGGTCACCATTCATAATACAAGAAGAGTGTCGCTATTCATAATACGAGACGAGGGTCATATAAGGATCGCTATTCATACATGTAATTGAAGAAGAGGAGCGCTATTCATAGAGAACAGGGTTGCTGTTCAAAATATGAGTAGAGGGTCTCTATCCATAATATGGGAAGTGGGTCGCTATTCAAACTTCAAACAATTGAAATAGTTCGTCATTAACGAACATAAATTTTGGTCAGTATTTTGTATTTGCCTTTTTTTCTAAGGATGTGACTGCCCAAAAGAGATAAGACCTGAGCCCTGTTTCATAAAACTTGTTATCAGTAACAAATGCAAATTTGCTCTCATTCAATCAACTGCCAGGATTTCAGTAGCTTATAACAGTTATTGAAAATTGTTATTGATATAAAGTTTTATGCAGCAGGGCCCTGATCATGACCATCACTGGAAACGATTAAATAGGGGAATGTTTGGCTAAACTTGCTGACAAGTTTAGGCAAATAGTCTCTAAAAGGAAATATATATGATATACATTATAAATGTTATAAAAGAGAATATGATCGACAGGAGTTATGCTGGTGCGGCTTTCCTCCTTTTATTAGCGAAGCCTCTGCATTGTAATCTCTGTCCTAACCTTCTTATTTTATAGTGATGCAAGAGAAGAGCAGAGATGGAGCTGCAGAATCAAAAGAGAACATCACTGAAAACATTGACACAAAGGAGCAAGGTAACTTTCCTTACGACATATCCAGTACATCATCAGCTATGATAAAGGCCTACCAACGGCCTGTGTATGGTTCATGCAATGTTGCTATGAACCATACAAATACACTTTTATTTGAATGTTCATGTTTTGGAAGAACGTTTCATGTTTTTAAATTGTTGCTCTAATATTGCACTGCAGGGCCCTGTTCCATAAAACTTGTTATCATTAACATGTTACAATTATAGTGTTATAAGCTACTGAAATTGCGGCCTTTGATTGACTGAGAGCAAAATTGTCATATAATAAGTTTTATGAAACAGAACCTTGTTCTGCAATGCCAACTCTTGCACACTCCTGTAGAGAGAGAGAAAAAAAAGGGGGTGGTAGGTGTAGTATTATTCAGACGACAAAAGGAGAATGGACACAAAAGGGTTGTACGATTTGGTTATGTTTTACTTTCACTTCGTGTCGTCGTTTCAACGTTGCAAATATATAGTCTTGTATAAAGACGTTATTAGATATTCCCACATCTCCCCCCAAGCTTATTATCAACAGTTCAAGAGTTCTTATTGATTTCCAAATAGTTTCAAATCCAATAAAAATCCGAAATATAATCCTGTTTAAGAGTTCACGGATATTCTCCTTAATTGTGTTCTTCGAGTCCCGAGTCCATTCCAGTTTACTATTAAACCCAAATAAACACTGTCCAAACCTTTAAAGTCTTGTTCAGTTTCAGTTCCTGCAAAGTTAATCCCAATTTTGGTATTTAAGTTTAACCCATTACATGGACAGTCGCTTTGGTGGTTTCACGAGTCGTCCAGATCGCGTTCGCGTCTCTGTCGCAGCTGTTGGTGTAGAGGCTCCCTCAGGCTGCTTCCGGTTGATCTGCTGGTTACGTTGGGAACCGGTTGAGTCGCTTTCATCAGAATCGTCAGGTCTCTCTGGATCGTTGCTCATGGATGACTCCGGCACTCTGGTCTTGGTGGGTTGACCTTGGACAGCAATCAGTGCACGGCGATTACGACGTACTGTCCCATGTTCTGTCTGGACATGGTAGGACCGTGGTTGTTGCGCTTTCTGGGTGACTTTCCCGTAGCGAGACTGATCACGGATCCACACGGAATCTCCTGGTTGTAGCTCTGGAAGCTCACGTGAGTCATGACGTCTGTTGTAGGTCATCATTTGATCTGACCTGTACTTCTCCTCTTTCTCTCTCACAGTCGTCAGGTCCGGCTGTTGTACCCGTGGCAGCAGCATGTGCGGCAAAGTAGGAACCTGAGTCTGCAATCTCCTCCCCATGAGAAGTTCACAAGGAGCTAACCCGTTTTGGAGTGGTGACGCTCGATAGCTGAGAAGGGCTAACTGGATGTCGTCGTTCTTCTTCAGCAACGTTTTCACAGTGCGAACTCCTCTTTCAGCCTCACCATTAGCTTGTGGGTATCTTGGAGAGCTGGTTGTATGGACGAATCCATACTCTTCAGCAAGCTTTCTGAAGTTGTCGTTGGCGAACTGTGGACCATTGTCTGAAACCACAAGGTCTGGAATCCCATGGACTGCAAAGATCTCCTTCAGCGAAGAAATCACTGCCATTGTTGACTGACCTTGGAGTTGTTTGACCTCAATCCACCTCGAGTAGTAGTCAACTACTATCAGGAACGATTTCCCTTTGAGTTCGAACAGGTCCATTCCAAGACGCTCCCATGGCCTTGAAGGAAAGGATGAGCTCATCAAAGGCTCGCGGACCTCTTGGCGATGGATAGCACAGGTCAAGCAGCTTGAAATCATTTCCTCCAATGATTTTGATAGACCTGGCCACCGCACTGAATCTCTGGCTCTGGCCCTGCATTTGGTGATTCCCAGATGTCCTTGATGTAGCCTCTCAAGGATATCAAGTCGCAGAGCTCTCGGAATGACTATTCTCTCGTCGTAGATAAGCAAGTCCTCTACCACACTCAGGTGTCCTCTCTGCTCATAGTAGTGTTTGAGGATGGGTTATGTGGCATGTAGTCTGGCCATCCTTGAACGCAGTAGTCTCTGATTTTTGCACATACTTCATCTGCTTTTTGTGCATTTCTGATTTCCTCAAATCTCTGCATTGTCACTGGGAGGTTGATGGCTGATGTTGATGCATATGATTCAACCTCATCTACGAAGTTGACATCATCCATTCCTGGCCTCTCTACTGGCGCTCGTGACAAGGCGTCAGCGGATGTCTGCTGTTTTCCTGGAACATACGATGTCTCTGCATCAAATCTCATCATTCTCATTCTGAAGCGTTGGAGTCGTGGAGGCATTTTCACAAGTTCTTTCGAGTTTAGAAGTGTGACCAATGGCTTGTGGTCAGTTTCCACCTCGAAATGAAGACCAAGTACATACTCGGAGAACCTCTCGCACGCCCAAGTAGCTGCCAGTGCCTCTTTTTCAATCACTGCATACCTCTGCTCAGTCTCGGTAAGCGATCGAGATGCATAGCACACTGGTCTACGATTTCCATCAGTCTGCACTTGATACAGGATTGCACCCATTCCAGTCCCGGATGCATCTGCTGCAATGACTGTTGGCAGTTCTGGATCATAATGAGCTAAGACTGCTGTCGAGACCATCATCTCTTTGATCTGTGTGAAAGATCGCTGCTGCGCTTCTCCCCAACACCACACATTGTCTTTCTTCAGGAGTTGACGAAGGGGCTCATTGATCTCAGCTAATCCTGGGAGAAACTTTCCCACCTGGTTCACCATTCCCATGAACCTCTGTAGCTCTTTTACGCTTCGAGGAACTGGAAAATCTCGAATAGCTCTTGTTTTGCTCGGATCGACCTTGACACCAGTGTCGTCGATGAAGTGCCCTAAGAACTTCACACTCTGTTTGGAGAATTCACACTTTCCCTGATTTAGTGTGATACCTGCTTCCTGCAGACGTTGTAGAACAGCTCGTACTCTGATGTCATGTTCTGTTTGTGTTGCACCATGGACTAGCACATCATCCATGTGACAAATCACGCCGTCAAGTCCTTCGAGGATAGTGGACATCGCTCTCTGGAAGACTTCTGGCGCTGACGTTATCCCGAACGGCAATCGGTTGAAGCAAAATCTCCCAAATGGAGTGACAAAGGTTGTCAGTAGCTTTGACTCATCCTCCAATGGAATTTGCCAAAACCCGCTGTTGGCGTCCAGTTTTGTGAAGATTGTGCTCTTTCCCAGTTTTGCTAGACTTTCATCGACTGAAGACATCGGATGAATCTCTCGTTCAACTGCCTTGTTGAGAGATGTAAGGTCTACACAAATTCTCACCGAACCACTGGGCTTCAACACTGGAACCATCCCCGAACACCACTTTGTCGGCTCAGTCACTTTTGAGATCACATTTTGCTCCAACATGGACTCTAGTTCTTTCTTCACCTTCGGTAGAAGCGGATGAGGAACTTTCCTGGCTGTATACAGACACATCGGCTTGGCATCTGAAGTTAACGTGATGTGGTATGCTGTCTTCAGTTTCCCCAAACCAGTGAAAAGTTGAGGGAACTCAGCCTTGAAGTTTGCAGTTTCATCATCACAAGAATCGACTTCCTCCACTCTGCGGACTAGATTCAAGGTTCTACACGCTTTCCTACTCAGCAATGAAGACTCCTGATCTTTGACCACATAGAGAGTCTCCTTGATCTGTTTATCTCTATGCCTGAGAGTTGATGTCATTTGTCCTATTACAGTCAGGACTGTACTTCCTGGACCACGTAACCTCTTGGTTGTTGGTCTCATGATGTGTTTATTCAGCCATGGAGTGGAATCAGACAACACAGTAACGGCTGCTCCTGTGTCTAACTTGAAGTGTGTTTCATTCCCATCTACGAGGATCGATGAACTCCAGTACGTCTGATCGTTCTCGCTGACTTCACCAAGGAAGGGGACATCAATGTCATCGAAATCATCTACTTCGCTGACTCGAGCTTTCCATTTTAGCTTTGCTGCCTCTTGTTTTCCCTGTTCTGGTTGTTTGGCTTGACACACAGACTGGAAGTGGCCCATCTTTCCACATTGATGGCACTTTGCATCTTTTGCGGGACAGCTGGCACGTGCATGATTCTGCCTTCCACACCACTTACAGTTACCCTGCGGAGTTTGAGATGTTTTCTTCGAGTACGTTCCCTTGCTCTTAGGCCTTACGTAGTTTACGGCCGAGTTAGGGCTCTCACTCTCTGCACCTCCCCTCACAACAGACTTGTTTTGTTTCCGGGCTTCTGACTGTCTACTCAATTGAACTGCTTTTGAGAGAGTTAGGTCTTCTCTAGACTGTAGTTGATCAGATAGGGAGTCATCAAGCACCCCAACTACAATTCTGTCTCTTATCAAGCCCTCCTTAAGTCTATCGTAGTCACAGTCCTCTGCTAGCCTGTACAAATCATTGATAAATGTGTCCACACTTTCTCCCGGGCGTTGTGTTCGTTCGTTGAATTTTGCCCTTTCAACAATAATGTTTTTCCGTACATTGAAATACTTCTTCAATGTTGCGATCACGTCATCATACTTTGCTGTCTCCTCTTTCACATTGAGAGACACGATAATATCATCGGCACATTCACCCATAGCATAGAGTAGCGTACTAACCTGCTCACTGTCTGGCTTGGATGCGAGGCCCGATGCGACGCGATATCTCTCGAACCGCCGTGACCATTTTGGCCATTGTTCTGCTTGATTTAAGCCTGCAACTTTATCAAAGCTTTCTGGCAATGGTAGACGAGAACTTTCCATGGTTCTTCACTTATACCGCTGCCACCATGTAGTATTATTCAGACGACAAAAGGAGAATGGACACAAAAGGGTTGTACGATTTGGTTATGTTTTACTTTCACTTCGTGTCGTCGTTTCAACGTTGCAAATATATAGTCTTGTATAAAGACGTTATTAGATATTCCCACAGTAGGGAGCTATACTATCACATTTATGTTATATATTTCATTGACTCACCATTATTATACATGGTAGCATACATGTGGGTTTCAACCTGACTTCAAAATTGTTGTGTTGACGTGACACATTCTTATTTTTTCTGCAGGCAACACACCCGACGGGTCGGACGAGTGTAAGCAAGATGAAAGTTCCAAACTCCTCACCCAGGCAGGAACATAGACCATTGGGGAGGCATTAGTCAGGACATGGAAGTTTGTCTTTCACACACTCATAAAATGAGCAATTGGTCAGGACAAGAAGCTATATTTGGTAATAATCAGAAGATTAAAATATTAGCGATTTCAAGAGGACCTGTGATAAAGAGAGAGAGGTCCATGATTTATTATAAACACAGAGTTGTCTCGATTATTTGTACATCACTGAAATTTAGTTATATCATGTTCATTTCGAAACATAATGGACTTTAATAAGGGCAACTCAATATCATTTCTATCTATCTAGTATCTTCTTCCGGTTCTCCATTTCACTCTATCTTCTGCCATTCTGGTCCACTCTTGCAGTTTTAGTCCACTCCAGTTCTTGACATTCTCTTCCCAGTTGATTCTGGGTTTCCCTCTCAGTCTAGTTCCTTCCACTCTTCCCTCCAACACATCCTTTAAGAGGTTTTGGTGCCTTTTAACATGACCAAAGTATTTGACTTTTCTCCCCTTAACCCTTACTGTACTGGGCTATTTTGAGCACCTCCTGACTGGGGGGGGGGGGGGGGGGGGGCCTGGGAGGCCCCCCCCCCTATGATCTCGGCCGTCGGATGTCCGATGAACACGAAAATTTGCATGTTTGTAGATATTTACGTAACGAACAAGATGGTGTAATTAGTTTTTTGCGAATATGCAAATTTTTGTCGTTATAGCCTAATTAATTATGCAAAATGCTAGTTCTATGCATTTTACAGAAAACGTGTCAAACTTCACTTTTTGAACGTTGAAACTCATTATTCATATGAAACTTCTTTTCTAACACAAAATATTTATTTGGATGTAATTAATAATGATAATTTATGCAAATTTGATGCGATTTTCAAATATTTATTTTCTTATGTATTTTATTGTTTTTTTATTTCTTATTATATCTATTGTTTTTATTTCCTATGTATTCTTTTGTTCTGGAATACATCAAGTTACTTTGAGAAACATATAAAAGCAATTCGATATCAATTCATATCACCCACTTAGGAAGGAATACATCTAAACCTGTATTCACATTTCTACTTGTACATGAATATATGCAATTATAGCATATTTTTGATGACATGCGCATACTAATTGTTATGTAACACCTCACAGGTATATCCGATTGTGACGAAAATGGTATCAAAACGTGCGTAAGACTTGAGGGAAAAAAGTCATGAAACGACAATTCAAAATTTCAAGCGGTTGCGGCGCAATCTCCGAAAATGTCGAGGGGGGGGGCCTCCCAGGCCCCCTCCCCCAGTACAGTAAGGGTTAACTAATCCTATCAGTGTAATTTGTTTACACCCTGCCATGTGCAATATCTCTTTGTTGGTTTTCATTCATTTCCAGGATATTTTTATCATTCTTCTGTAAATCCAGACCATACAAAAAGTATACTAGTCTAAACCAAAGCAAATTTCACCTTTTTATCTGTGAATAAGTCTTTCATTGCCAGAAATGTATTCCAAGCAATTTCTATTTTTCCTTTTATTTCTGCTTCGCATCTGGCATCATCTGTGATAATTTGTCCAAGTAGATGTAATTAATGACCTGCTCAATGCCTATGTCCATCAAGTCCATGCAATTTTTTAGTTTACTGCAATCAGGCGCGTACGCAGGGGGGGGGGGGGGTTTGGGTTAAGATTAAACCCCCTCCCCCTTGAGTTTTTTTTATGTGTATGTTTTGTGTATGTTTTTTGGGAAACCCCCCCCCCCCCCTTATGAGTTTTTTTTTTAAATTAAAAAAAAAATTATGCCAATGGCTGATCAAAGAAATAAGAAATATAAAAACTTGCATGCATGTCAAGTGTATAGATTACTATGGTAATTTTTTTTTATTCTTTAAATTCACTCATTTGCATGTTTATGGTACTTTATGCAAATAAGGTAATAAAATTCACATTTTTACCCATAAATCATTTATTCTTCATATTTAAACATTAGTTTTCACTACATATATTCTTTAGACCATTTGGGATAATAATACAACAAGGGATATCGGAAGAGCAAGGTTATTCCTTATGTTTTCTATTGATTTGATAATTTCTTATGTATTTTTTTAAAATTTTAATTCTAACTATAATTCAACTATTTTGAACCGCAAAATAAACACCTTAACTAAAAAAAGACCAAAAAAATCCAATGTTTTATCTCTTTTTTGGAAAAATGAGATTTCCATAAGTTTTGTACATAAATCACTAAAATTAGCGATTTTGGGGCTGACTTGCAAAGACAAAAGGTCACGTGACTCTGCCGCAAAGGTAGGTCCAATTATTCAACAAAATTATTTCAAAAGATGCGCAAGACTCGGAAAGAAAAAAGTCATCAAATTTCAGCGCAAGATTCTTTGGCGTTGAAAAATTAATGCGAAAAATCTAGAATGGGGGGCTTCTAACATCCCCCCCCCCCCCCCCTGGGCTAGATAGGGTTAAAGATCTAAACTCCCTCAACTCATCTAAAATAAAGCAGCATTCTTTATAAACCAAATTTGTGTATGTCTCCCTGCTCATCACTGATCTCCGATGGCTTCGCTTTAATAATCGTTCATAAACAAGATCTTCACCTACAAGTTATAATCAGGCTCCAGCATGCCTAGTGTTCTACTCCATTCGCACACATCCATACACAGTTACACGATCAGCTAGTAGTAAAACACTTAATGTCCCTCAAACCCGTAAACAGATAGTTGCTTTTCCCGCTATTGCCCCCAAAACCTGGAAATCCTTACCTCCTGTACTTAAGAATTGCCATACTCTCACAGTTTTCAAGAAGTGTTTGAAAACACATCTTTTCGAATTTGTTGTTATATTCCTCTCTATTTGTAATTAATGTCAGCTTCGTATGATTTTGTTTTTGTGTTTGTTTTATTTTCTTGTTTATGCACTTTGTATCTAATGAAAAGGGGCTTTATTATTGAAATATTATTATTATTATATTCATTATATTTTACTATGAGTGGGGACTCAGGTGGGGTTTAAAGCTGGCCTATGAAAGTTACTTCATTAAAAAAGATTGTATTCTAGCTATGTCACATTCTTATATTTTAGATCAGGTTATAGAGTAATGTACATATAGTTATAGTTTGCTTATATATACTACAATCTGAAATATTGAAACTGATAACGTGTACGCTGGATGTAAACAAGAATTGTTTAGAATTTTGCAGTAGTGCTTCTAGTACAATGTGGCCTTAATGTACTGTTATAAATAACCTTCGCTGATCTGAAGGGCTTTATAGTTGCATGCCGTGTGTATTTATATCTTTTCAGGAAAATGGATAATTGAAATAAATATGCTTGAAGAAAAAAATGGAATCCTCTTGCTCTCGAGTGATAAACATTATTGATTCCTCGGCCGTGCAATGCCTAACTAAAAGAGATTGAATTTTCATAGCAATTAGAAGGGATGTACATGTAGGTCTCTATACCGGCCTAATGCTATGGTAACATGAGCAGTGTACATCAGAAAGGAATACCTCTCCCAGATATATATGTAGAGAGAGAATAGATTATTTAATGTGGATAATCCTTTCAGTCACAGCGATATACAAATAAAAATTGGACCCCCCCCCCAAAAAAGTGCCTCTTACACCCCCCCCCCCCTTATTCACCGGCTGGCTGGTGAATAAGGGGGGGCTCGCAACTAAATATTTTCTCACGGATTGCCCCCCCCCCCTCCCCCCCCCCCCCCCCTCTTGCCGCCGAATGGATCCGCCACTGCCCACCCTCCCCCCATCCCCGACCAAAAAAGTGGGGGAAAAGGAGGTAGAAATTTAGTACTAGAACTGCTGATAAGTTCACTTGCCAAATGTACATACAACTTCATATAAACGTACAGTAATGTATATAATGGACCTTGCTAATGGAGTACTATAACTCGTGAAATATGTGAATTGAATTTTGTTAACACTTTTAAAAGTAAATACTAAAAGTATTTTATTGAACTATATATGCTTTCTAAAGATTTCAAATTTCATAACTATAAATGCTGATTATTGTTGCCAAATGTACATACAACTTCATATAAACGTACAGTATAATGAACCTTGCTTATGGAGTACCATACCTTAATTGTGAAATATGTGAATTGAATTTTGTTAACACTTTTAAAAGTAAATGCTAAAAGAATTTGATGGACCTATATTGATGTGTTCTAAAGACTTCAATGGTTGTTAAATTCATTATGATATTGTACATGCCATTATTTGTTTTACTTTTAATTACAGCTTAAATTAAATTATAAGGCTGTTTATATTTGGTCAGCCGCATAAGGACCATCTACATTCTGACTGCTACCAGCCTAGCTAAGCGATCTGTTTTTAACGATTTGTATTCATTGTTTTCAAAATTGATTCTGTGTTTTCCTGTGGTTATCTATGTTAGTAATTGTGTGATACTTTTATATTGCTGCTTTTTTTTTACCCTGCATGTTTTTTTTATTGCTTGGCAAAATAAATTAAATTGAATTGCAAAAATGAAAAATTTCCCCCTCTTTTTGGTTGTCACACTTCATTAAGACTTATAGTAATGTACCTTAGATTTCCTTCAATTTACTTACAACCCTGTACCAAATTAGTACTAATGTATGTATTTTTTGTCCTAATGTATTAATTGTATTTTGTTCGTGTCTGATGACCTTGTGGATTTGTTTCAATGAACTTGAAACTTAGAATGTTGGAATATGTTGTAGGCAGATTGTTTTCCGAAATAGACTTGTGGCACCTATGGGGCACACCCCTCCCCTTTTCCCGGCGGCGCTACTGAATCTTACTAAAAAAACATCACATCAGACTCGGATTATATGCAGTTATACTTCAAGGAATGACAGGCTTTAATATTATCTAAATGAATGCAAGCATGAAGTTGGATATGACGCCTTCAAAGTAACTTAGGTTACAACACAACACATCTAAGACTTTAAGTATCCCTTATATTATCCCCTGTCAAATAGTATTAAGTAAAATTGACGGTATTTTCAAACGTTTTCAGGACATTTTGGAATGTTTTCCATCAGCTTCAAGTTAGTCAAAACATTGGATACACAATGACATTAAAGGTACTACATTATGTCCCTTTTGCAGGTCAAAAATGAAAATGTTAAATTCCAATGGCATTTGAAAGATAATGCTATTTTAGAACTCCCCTTAAAAAAAGGGGGCTTGAAAACGTCTTTAAGTGGGAAAATAACGACTATTCGTTGTCAAATCGACTTAGGAGCTATAGAGCCAATAAGTAATAGTCTTGATTTTCAGACCATTGTACCGCATGGTCGTACGTTTTATGCTGCGCAAAGATTCAATCAGTTTAATTTTGGCCATTACAAGAAGTGGGTTATTGATGTAGACAAATCCTTTACAAAGGCTCATTTTATGTAGAAGAAAAAAGCCAGTCAGTCACTCAATACTGACAATAGTGTCTGACAGTGGAGTCTAGCAAGTAAACGGGTTTCCTTGCATAATTTGAATATTAGGACACTGTTAATGTTTAAATTTCACAGATAGGACATACATGACATATTCATAATTCCTGCAAAGTTCTACAGAATTTGAGGCTGGCTGCAAAAGGGACATAGTATCTTTAAAGTAGGAAATCATTTAAAAAAAAACACCTTCAAAAATGAAAATGACTTTCATTCTATATCCCGATTATCATGTCATGATGACATGTGCTATATTTAAGCGAGTACTTCTATGAAACTTATCAATATCTTTCTCTTGAAAGAGATATTTAAAGATAGAAATAAGTTGACCATAAGAACTAAAGCCTCTCATAACTAAGACACTTAACAGAGACTTTTGGGTTTTATGTCTAGACATAATTTTTTAAAGAAATACCCCCTGCATGGAGGCATTGTTTGCGAGAGTGGGAGAATGAAAATAATGTATCAAAATAATATCATAGATGCATTGCATAACTATGCTTTTTGCAGAAGCAAAGTCACACACACACACGCGCACACAAATGTTCGTTGATGTTTGGTATTCGTTAGCCTATGTGTGGCATGATTAATTTTGTTAGGGATGTTATTTGGATCTGCAAAAACCGATTTAATACCCAAATCCCAATTGTTTTATTTAAACATCACATAATAAGCAACTTTGGCGCAAGTCGAATTTTGCACTCTCGAAAACAATGCCTCCTGTTCATCCAAGCGTGAACACATACCACACAAAAATGATACTGAAAGATTTCGGATAAAACACTCTTTCATAAGATGAATAATAATTTACTGTTCATAGACGATTTTAAAAATAATTAGCAATTGTCTAGGTGTAAACTTTCTTTTGACTCGCACTGTATAGTACTGCACTAAATTGGCATGATTCAGATTTGTTAGTTGTCACAGAAAAAAGTTGGGCCGGGCTCATAGAGATAATAATACTATTAAGTATACATCGATTATGGCCGGGCTTGACTTTTGGCGGGTTAGAGGTTACAATATTATTAGTTCACTGATCTGATTCGCTTATTTTTTTTAACTTTCATAGTCAAACGAAACAGATTTTAATTGACAGAGGATATATGCCAAAGAAGGAGAATTAATAGAACAAGATAAATATCAGAAAAATTGAAAGTGAGAGATGGTATGATTCTCAGAAGAGAGAAGAAGAAGAAGAAAATGAGAGGATCGAAGGGAGCGCAATTAGAAAGAGGAGTAATATTAAGATATTATATTTTTGTTCAGCTTTGTATTTGCTGATCGAGTATATGCATATATATTCATTTTAAAAACTTTCTTTTGTGATTGAATTAGATCAAGGAAAGCGGCACTTTGCGTAAATATTTAACCAAATATTGAAAGCATTAGTAATAACGACAGCATATGCTTTCTACCTTTCATTCGTTACATCCCGTTCTTCTTTCTGTCGCTGCAGTGAATTTACTTCTGGCTTTAATTATATTCTTTATTCTTACTTGTCGCAATCTTTTTATCACTCCCATCGTTGCACTTCAGTTAGTTGCTTTACATATTTGTATTCCTTTGTTTCTTTGCATTTTGCTTTCTTTATTTCGTAATTCTCTATTTTCATGCACCCATGCAATGAGACTCCACGTCGCAACTTGTTTACAATGACATCATCCATCCTTCCACGTGTAACGTAAACATTGTGACGTAAATGTTTATTTTGCATATGCGCGACCCTGGTCGACCTCGAAGATCGCTACTCGACTAGACTCGACTAGACTCGGTACAGAGCTCAGAATAGGCTATGAATGGTAAGTTTTGATCAATTTTATTGTTTAATCGAATCCATTTACCTTCGCCTACCCATCCTCATGATCCTGTGTTCATATGCTCTAGAATCTGGTTACTCTAATGATGATTTATGTGCTTGATAATGATAATGATAAAGAGGCTAACATTGTCTTCGATCAAGCGATAAAGTGCGGTCGTGCTCTAGCGGAGCGCTGGCAGTAGTTGATGCCCAAACCTTTGGGGTGTAGCTTCATGGATTTACGCTGTGTTCAATATAAAAAGTTGGCGCAGTCTAGACCGAAAGCGTCAGTCTCTATAATCTATATCGTCGGTTGTTCCACTGAGACTATACGTCTGGCTCCACTAGACCTCATATATATATATATCCGGAGGTCTAGTGGAGCCAGACGTAGTCTCAGTGGAACAACCGACGATATTATAGAGACTGAAGCTAATTTCGGTCTAGGAGGCGCAGTCTTGCTTTTACATTTCCCGAAAATCTGACGTTTTTGTCGGCTGGCTTTTGGGCAAACCCGGACTTTAGTGCCCAGCTGAAAATCTCAGTTTATTATGGATTTAATATCAATAATATTAATTATGCTAATATATGCAAATATAAACATACCAAAACTTGATGATTTTTAATCATTTGACGTCATAAAAAGCAATTTTAAGCCAAAAATAGCAGCGAAGTAGGGGATCTCCTCTTTGCTTGATGCGAGATACTAGCGAACTGAATTGAAATAACCGAATAAAAACTATGGTGAACTAAAAAAAGAAAAGAAAAAATCAAACCACCTCTGAAATTACCTTTGAAATGTTTATTAATTTTTTCTTCCGATATGCGCACATGATAGGGGCAGGTTGGGATGGGATGGGGGGGGGGGGGGGGTGCTCAATAGTCGCCAAATTTGGGGTAAAAGGGCAACTGGCCTTGGGGGGGGGGCTAAATTTATTATTTACTTATTTTTCTTTGTAATCATTTTTCTAATTTTTTTCCGGGGTGGCTCTTTTCTTTATTCTGCTTCTTCTTTCTTTCTCACCAGATATGCACGAAACATTGGGGTTTGAAGAGATGACACCCCCCCCCCCCCTTCCTGATGGGGGCGCCAAATTTAAGGGTTATTTTAATCTTTCTTTCTTTTTCTCTGCCCCCCCCCCCCCCCCCCCGTCCCTTTCTCCCTTTCTCTTTAATAGGCATGCACGCATCGAGGGGGCGAGTGGGATGGGATGGGGGTGCTGAAAACTCGCCAAATTTGGGGTAAAAGGGCAACTGGCCTGGGGGGGGGGGGGCTAAATTTATTATTTACTTTTATTTCTTTGTAATCATTTTTCTAACTTTTTTTCCGGGGGGGGGGGGGGCTCTTTTAGTTATTCTGCTTCTTCTTTCTTTCTCACCAGATTTGCACGAAATATTGGGGGCTTGACGAAATGACAACCCCCTTTCCTGATGGGGGCGCCAAATTCAAGGGTTATTTTTTTTATTAATCTTTCTTTCTTTCTTTTCTCTGCCGCCCCCCTTTTCTCGCTTTCTCTTGAATAGACATGCACGCATCGAGGGGCGGGTGGGAGTCGGATGGGTGGTTTCTGGGAGCTTGATAGTTGCCAAATTTTGGGTAAAAGGGCGCACAATTGGTAATTATCCATTTTTTTAATTTGTTTATTCTCACATTTATTTATTTATTTTATTTGTTGGGGCGGGGGTATCGTTTCTTTGCCGTTTAATTCTGCTTCATCTCTCTCTCTCTCTCTCTCTCTTGAGACATGCCTGCAACATTTGGGGCCTAAGGAGATGAATCCTTCCCCCCAGCCCCCCCCCTGCCCCCTCCCTCGGAGCAAAACCCCCCCCCCTTTATTAACGGAAGCGTTGTGGTGAAGAGGGGGGGGGGGGCACTTGTCTCGAGCTCCATATTTGATACATGGGGGGGCAATCCCTATAATAGTCCCACGTTTCTCTGCATATGAAAGAGAAAGAATGAAAGAGATCAGCAATTACAATAAAAAAAAATAATCCTCAAATTTGGCTTCCAAGTATGCAGCCCTTTCACCAATAATTCAGCACCCCTACTCCTGACAGGGGGGGGGGGGGGATTCCCCTAAGTCTTGAATTTATAAAGACAAGAGAAAGAAGGGAAGAAAACCATCAAGATTGGCACCCCAGTCACCAAGTTTGCGCCCTTTTTACCTAAAACTTGGCGCTCCTGCCGAGGGAGGGGGCAGGGGGGGGGGCTGGGGGAAGGATTCATCTCCTTAGGCCCCAAATGTTGCAGGCATGTCTCAAGAGAGAGAGAGAGAGAGAGAGATGAAGCAGAATTAAACGGCAAAGAAACGATACCCCCGCCCCAACAAATAAAATAAATAAATAAATGTGAGAATAAACAAATTAAAAAAATGGATAATTACCAATTGTGCGCCCTTTTACCCAAAATTTGGCAACTATCAAGCTCCCAGAAACCACCCATCCGACTCCCACCCGCCCCTCGATGCGTGCATGTCTATTCAAGAGAAAGCGAGAAAAGGGGGGCGGCAGAGAAAAGAAAGAAAGAAAGATTAATAAAAAAAATAACCCTTGAATTTGGCGCCCCCATCAGGAAAGGGGTTGTCATTTCGTCAAGCCCCCAATATTTCGTGCAAATCTGGTGAGAAAGAAAGAAGAAGCAGAATAACTAAAAGAGCCCCCCCCCCGGAAAAAAAGTTAGAAAAATGATTACAAAGAAATAAAAGTAAATAATAAATTTAGCCCCCCCCCCCCCAGGCCAGTTGCCCTTTTACCCCAAATTTGGCGAGTTTTCAGCACCCCCATCCCATCCCACTCGCCCCCTCGATGCGTGCATGCCTATTAAAGAGAAAGGGAGAAAGGGACGGGGGGGGGGGGGGCAGAGAAAAAGAAAGAAAGATTAAAATAACCCTTAAATTTGGCGCCCCCATCAGGAAGGGGGGGGGGGTGTCATCATCTCTTCAAACCCCCAATGTTTCGTGCATATCTGGTGAGAAAGAAAGAAGAAGCAGAATAAAGAAAAGAGCCACCCCGGAAAAAAATTAGAAAAATGATTACAAAGAAAAATAAGTAAATAATAAATTTAGCCCCCCCCCCCAAGGCCAGTTGCCCTTTTACCCCAAATTTGGCGACTATTGAGCACCCCCCCCCCCCCCCCATCCCATCCCAACCTGCCCCTATCATGTGCGCATATCGGAAGAAAAAATTAATAAACATTTCAAAGGTAATTTCAGAGGTGGTTTGATTTTTTCTTTTCTTTTTTTAGTTCACCATAGTTTTTATTCGGTTATTTCAGTTCGCTAGTATCTCGCATCAAGCAAAGAGGAGATCCCCTACTTCGCTGCTATTTTTGGCTTAAAATTGCTTTTTATGACGTCAAATGATTAAAAATCATCAAGTTTTGGTATGTTTATATTTGCATATATTAGCATAATTAATATTATTGATATTAAATCCATAATAAACTGAGATTTTCAGCTGGGCACTAAAGTCCGGGTTTGCCCGATATATCGTCGGTGGGGTGACAAAACCTCGTATCTCAAAAATCATGAATTTTCAGCAGAGCGAAAAAATTGTCCTGTCTCAACGAATTTAGTGCTGTGAGTGTGACACGTACCGTCCTTTCTTTTTAAAACTGGAATATTTATTCAATTTGTAATGTCATTGTTGAAATACAGTAAAATAATTGTTTTTATATTTGAAAGTGAGTTACAAGGTTTTTGCTTTTATCTAGATCTACATTGAGATACGAGTTTTTAGTTTGTATTCAAATTGAGATACGAGTTCTTACTTTCAACTCTGATTGAGTTACGAGGATTTGAATACACTAACTTCGGTACTGTTAGGCCGTGTGTGAGTTACAAGGAAAATGAATGACGTACCTTAAGTTACGAGGTTTTGTTAGTGCAGCTTCAAAGATAAGATAAGATAAGATAAGATAAGATAAGATTTTATTCGTCTTTCTTTCAAATGACATACAGAGCATAACATTGGATCATAACACATTTACAAAGCAAAATAACAAATTATGATAATGATAAAAAAACATAGCTAACTAAAAGAAAGACGAGGAGACCCTGGTAAAAGCAGAGCTTGTAATTATTAGGGTCCCCTCTGAGCCGGATAAAACATGATGAATAGATATTTGTGACTACCTAAGAATACAATAGGGAAAAGGGGGTATAACAAAACAAGAAGTGTACACACACACAACAACAACAACAAAAAGAGAGACTAGACTAGACAAGACGGGAGAAAAGAGAAAATATGAGAAATAATAGAAGAATACAGCACATCGACAATAGGCACAGCACACAACGGGCACAAGACAACAGGGGGAGGGAATAAGAGGTTGACAATCTGAAAATATTCAGTTAGACACATATTAATATCAAGAAGAAAATTTACATTTATAGTAATACATAATATATCTTGGCACCATAATAACTACAAAAATGAACTACTCTATGAGTCACAGTATTTATCGAGAAGATAAACCTTAAGTTTACACTTAAATGAAGAGAGACTAACAGATTGCTTAACGCTAGAGCCTAGAGAGTTCCAAAATTTAGGTCCAGTAAAAACCAAAGTATTAAAAGTTAACTTTGTCCTTACTTGGGGTAAGTGAAACGCAGAGGCATTTCGTGTAGCATGGTCATGAACTTGACTATTTTTCTTAAAAATGCTGACTAGAGCCTGTGGAAGGACACCAGAATCGAAGTTGTACATTAAAGAACCCAGTTGAAGGTGATAAATATCTTGCACCTTTAAAATTCTATGCGTATAAAAAAGCGGATTAGTGTGCGTACGAAAGCTAACGTTACAAATAATTCTTAAGACCCTCTTTTGAATCAAATATAACTTTTCAAGGTTAGTTTTAAGAGAGTTACCCCAAGCAAGAACACCATAATTAAGATAGGGGAGGATTAATGTTGAGTACATTAATAAAAGGATGCCTTTAGGTAAAATTGATTTCAATTTATGAATTACGCCACTGTTTCTTGACAATGTCTTATAGAGATG